ATAAGCTCAAACAGATCGCTGATGTATTATAGGCTTGTAAGTCAATACAAAACCTTGTTTGAATCCGTATTCATGCGACTTTCATAATTTGACCCTTAGCTAGAGATGGGTTTTACATGTGCTACTCATGGTCAGTTATAACAGAAAAGAACGTCAAAATTAAGAAGTGAAACAAAGGAGCCACCGGGAAAAACTATTTTGTTCACTGATTCGGCCCACTAAAATTTCATTCTTTTACAAGTATAAAAATAAGGAGATGTGTATGATTGCCATTCAGACAACTAAAGGCAACCGTATGGCCTTCAACAATGAGAAAAACCCATACCATATAGTCGGCTATAAAAAGCAAAATGTGAAACAATTAAAAAAAGAAAACCAATAGCCTTATTGATAACAAAACAATTTACGAAAAACAAAAATAACAGACATGAGCAGACGACAACAACTGAACTACAGGCTTAGGACAGGCACATAAAGAATGTGGCGGGGTTAAACATGTTTGTGAGCGCTCAAACCTCTCCCTAACCTGGGACAGTGGTGTAAAAGCACAACATAAGAACGAAGAAACTATAAAAATCAGTAGCAATTAGCTCAACTCAAAAGATCGGTACGATAATGACTTACATATTTTTGAACCTTGACATGCAACAAAACAGACCTAGAAACATCGTAGTGATACGATTGCACGTGCTTTTCTGTGCATTTATATTTGAATTTATGTTTATATCGGGCCATATGACCATCGACATTCCTCGGGGGTCATCTCGATTTTTGATTAGATGGATATCGGTAAAAGCTATACCTGTAGCATTTATTTCAGAATTGGGATGAAAGAATTAAATGTGTTGACTGTACTTTTAAGAGCCATAATTGTTTTCTCTTTAATTTGAGATTTCCAGAGAAAGTATATATTATTCCTTTGAAGATATTCGCGGTAATGATATGTAAAGCATAGAGGGTCGCCGGCCTTGTATTAGTTGTCTAAAATATCAATTTTTTGTTTAGATCGACGCCATCTCGGCGTTACGCTTATTTCGTCCTTGTGACCAAAGACTAATAGATCAATTGTAACAATCTCAGTTTTGACATTTTTTTCGGTCTTTCTGTCCACACTTATTGAAAATTTTCTTCTGAAAAATTAATTTGGTGACCCCATACAAATTTTTAAATCGTTAAAACGTCAAAGCAAACAATAAAAAAGGTTTTCGAGAAACTTCCGCAATTTAAAACGAATTTCATATTTGTTTATACTTTACACAATAGAAAATAAACTACATGACCCTAGCTTAGCAATTGTTTGTAAACAAACAAAAACGATGAAATAATGAATCAATATCAAACCAAACAAATAGGAAATTTCCAATTATACGCAAAACGTTTTGCATAGATACCTACCTTGAATATAAAATTCCATAACATATATATTTATATATATATATATATATACGTCGCTGATATAACTATACAGGTAAAAATAAAATAACAGCAAATATAATCCCTTTTAACTATTTCTGTCTACAGATTTTTTATATTTAACAGTAAATGTCTGAAATATATGCAAGATTGCAGCTTTGTATAGGGTACAACCATTCCAACGAACATAAGCTGACAATATAGACATATACGGGGTCTTCAACAAGCGAGAAGACGAAACGGTATGACAATCTCAAAATCACCACGGGTCAAGATATCTTGACCAACAATTTCAACAGAAATCGCCAAAGCATCTATAATCTAATGCCTCGCTTCATCGGCGACTATTTATACAAAACGCCGTAGAAAGTGGATAAATCAGTGTTCCTTTATGAAAAGGTAACTAGAACGAGGAGTCATCACTATAATTTGTAAATAATTGTTCAATGTTTCAAGGACAAACATGAAAGTAGCAATAGCGGTATGAAACACAGCAGGATTTCAGTGTATCGTTCTTTTTAAGAAATATTCCAATGTTTTACAATTAGTAGGACATGCTTCTTTTAAACGAATACTAGCAGGCTCAATTGCTATTTTCTTGTCCGAACGAGAAAATCGTACTTTGACAGCCAAACTGTTTTAAGTTACAAAAAACGAAAATGACATTGCTATAAATTGGAGCCCTCTTTAGACAACATTTGTTTGGTGAAATGGTGGATTTCAACTATTAAAAACATCAAAGATACCAGGCTTATAATATTGTCCGCCAGACGCGTTTTTCGTCTACAAACTACTTATAAGTGATGCTCAAATCAAAAAGATTAAAAGGCCAAAATTAAGTACGAAGTTGAAGAGCATTGAGGACCCAAAATTCCAAAGGTTTCGCCATATACTGCTGAGGTAATTATTCCTTGGGTAGAAAATCTTTAGCATTGTAACAAACTGTTTAAATTCCAATCATGTACCCTTGCTAACTAATTTAATTTTATGTCACATCGAGCAGATTTTTAACATAACCTTTCAAAAGGTTAAAAATAGAATTTATTCGTTTTTAAGTAACTTAATAACGTCCAATCACCTAATTATGTATTTCAGAGAGAGGTCATGTTTTATATATCCGCGATCCTGAAAGTAAGGATATAAAAAGTTGGTACAACCAATTTGACCAACAAATCTGTTTAGTGACGGTACGTTTTACCGGTAATGTGTTAAATCTGTTGTCTGTCTCATAATCCTGAAGACTATAGTTTAGTTAAACTATTCCCCCAAAAGACAACAGGATACTAGTAGTTGAAATAATATTTGTCACCGTGCACAGGCCGAACCTCTAGTCCCACCTAGACATATGCAACATTCTCAAACCCTATGTGAAAATGTGGATGTTTAATTCAGTTTTGTTTTCGAGTTCCATATTCCACTTGATGCTTGACTTAATATTAGCACAAGATATGCATGCATAGTGAGAGATGCCGATCCCGTCCACGTTCATGGAACCAAAACGTTTGCCGGAGTTGCTGTTATTTCTACTGTTTCAAATCCAATAATTGTCATAAAATGATTTATGAAGAAATTCGAAATGACTTTTATATAACAGGTTTTTATCTAAAGCAAATGCAGTATTTTGGTATTCTATCATGTTCTTCATCCACTACAAATTGCTGTTTTGAAGCAATTGTGTATATTAAATAAAATTGAACAATATGGTTGTTATTTTCTCTTTTAAATTCACAGACAGGTCAAGGTCACATTAGTTATGAATACAACTAGATTTAGATTAACATAGATTGCCTTTTTGCTGTGTATGACATGCTATTAGCATTCATCAGGAATGCAAGAACCATAAGTTTGGAAAGCCAGAATTATGATTGGTTGAGAACATGACAACCATAAAGTCTGAACCAAAATTGTCAAGGCCATCCTACATTAGCTTTGCCTGAGGGAGTTGCAACCTTGAGTTTTAGTACAATTACATGATTTATGAACTGGAAATTTACATTCAAAATGATTTCTTTAAATCATATTAAGTTTCGAAGCACTGGCTATAAAGCAGTGTTCAAACCAAGTAAAGAAAACAAGATACAGATACCTATACACATTATACATATTATGTAGAAACCTTCACCAGGAATGTTCAAAATCAAAAGTTTAGCACGATTACATAATAAATGAACTTGTAATTTTAAGTCAAATGAATCATTTCAATCATGCCAGTATTGAAGCACATGCTGCTGGGTGGAAAGTACTCAATTGGACTGTTAGCCCACCATCAGTTGAACTGACTCAGTTATAGGAAAAACATTAACATGTTGTTTCTGGGTAACATCCTTTGAATTATACCTACGTTTTACCTATGGATGAATAATAACTCATCGAGAGAAGATGACCCCTTCGAATGTGGAGAATACAAGGTAAAATACCAAGGTACCATCAAAGACTTAAATTTGGGGAAAAGTTTGCTTTTCTATATATTTTGAATGGTAAATACTCTCTAAATATTCTCTATTCTGTAACCCAATCCACACTTTCATGGGGAACATTCTTTTGGAAAATTAAATATCTATAAATTTTGAAATCATTAGTTCAAAGTAAAAACCTTAGTTAGCAGCTGGATATAGACGAAAAATAAAATTCTTATCCTAGAAAACATCTTTTGAAACAAATGTTCAGCTTTTAACAAACTTGGGTGAATAATGCCTCTTTAGTAATGGAAATCCACTATCAATGTTGAGGTCCTGCATTTACTAGGTCACACTTGGTATAAATAAACTGATATTCATCTGATGCAAACTGATTTGGCCTAGAACTTACAATTTTTAACCAAGTCTTATATTTGGCATGATTGCTCATCAACCTCATGCAGAGTCCTAAAAGTTTTGTCCTTGATTTCAGATTTCTAAAATTTGCTTATAACCTTCTTAGGGTAGATAATGCTTTACGTTTCACATATATTTTGAAAGCATAAATATATGCAGAAAAAATATCAGTATCTGTTTTCCATGATTTTGGCATCATCCTTCCATTAAAAATCCACTGATTCACCTCTGATAGGTGTGGAATTCTTATTTCTCTAGTTCTTCGTCAATTTATCCCTTTCTACACCCATTGTATAAAAAAAATTTAATCAACGTGTGGTTTGTTTGATCTCAGTTCTTCATTGGTTAAAATCCGATTATGACATCGAATTTTCTTGCTTTCCTCTGAATTTCCTATTGTGACGGCATGAAAAAAGGCGACCGTGCCTGATGACGTCACATAGAAAGAACACATCTTTTTGCAGATCATTCCAAAAGAAGGAATAAATTTGCCTGCGTATTGTTTGAAAATCATTAGAGAAACAGATTCCACCTCCAAATCTCGTGTAATACGATATTTATCCATTCTCGCGTTCTAAATTTGAAAATTTAACTGTCTCGAGTGGATAAATATCCTATCACACTCGATGCAGTGGTAGAATCTATCTTTATCAAATTATCATCATGATGGTCTTGAATATTACAGTTTTAAACACTATTATCAAGTTGTTATGTGCTGTATAAATCAGTAAGGAAATACATTTCATGTGTAAAATATAAAACAGAACAAATAAGTTGTTTTTTTTATGTTTAATAAAATCTGATACTTCAACATTCAACAATAAACATATAATAATGAATTATATTTGGCAGACTATTTAAGGCATTCAATTGTTCTTACGACATTGTTAAGGAATATGGCAGTTTTATTTTTCACTTATAACCATAAGGTCATTTATGGTTGGAATGCTTGACGTATATTTTGGCCAACTTCTGTGCATAACCATAGAAATTTCAACTTTTAAAGAAAAAAATTGTTCATATTATAACAATGAAATTCATCAAGATATATTTAAATAGCTGATAAAAATATAATCTATAGAATTATTAGCCCAAATTTAAAAAAAATAAAATCTGATTAATGAATATATTTTTCCAACAGTGGTATAAAATCAATTACAGGTAAAATGCTGTAAGTGTAACTTATAAAAGTAAAAAAAATGTACAACTGGAATCACATATAAAATATCACAGACAATGCAATTGAATACACACTAGAAGTCACATGACAGATAAATTACTACAGTGTCAGTCAATCACTCCATTCAGAAACCCTGTCCATTATAATTATGGCAGTATGGAATGAAAAATTCTTATAGCATATATTCCAATGAATATCACTTTAATAAAAAAAAATATATATAACAAAAAATAAATTAACTCTTCATTTTCAAATTTATGTAGAAAATCTACATCTTGTTTCAAGCAGAACAAATAATGTTTCGTATATCAAGACAAAAGAACTGATATCTTAATACAAACATAAATTGAAAATGTATGATTATTTGTTTAAATAAATAAGGAACACCCTTTCTTTGAAGAAATGTTTTTCTTATGCAATATCATAAAATTTGATAAAGTCATGTAAAAGAAGGTACTCTGTGTTTTGCATAACTTCAAACATATTGTATGAATAACTTAATTATCTCCCTTATCTGATTACATTCCAGTGAGGTAACTCATTCTTATACAACTTCTTTATTATATCCATCTGTACACTTTATTTAAGAACACTACTGTTATCATTTTCTCTCATTTTCAGTGTGTGTTCTATGAGAGAGATACACACAAACACCCAGTTATACATGTGTTGTGCAGGTACTGATCCAAACTTTGACACCTCTCCATGGGGAACATCTGAAATAAAAAAAAAAGTTGCAATGGAAAATGCTATTAAGGAATTCTTACCATAATAAACTCCAAGTCACTAAAATGACCAGGCTGTAAGCTTAGTTGACTTAATAAGGGCTGTTCCATAAAACGCATACCTGGGGGCCAGGGAAGGCACTTTGAAATCTCAACAATAGGTGGGGCCAGTACAGTGAAAATGTATGCGAGATTCAAAATTTTCTCTTTAGGTGGTTACTCTATTTTGAAAGTGCTTTTCCTGGGTATCATGTATTCTTAAATGGAACAGCCCTAAACTTAAAAAAAAATGACTTCTGTCATGTTTCGATCTCTTCTGCAAACTTCATGAAAAGCATGTACCTTAAATTCATTGATAAATGTTGGACGATATTTTAGTGTGGGTAGGGAGAAACAAAGAATTAAGATACATTATCATTAATATAACCATAATGTTAGTTTGATATGGATACCAATCTTTCATCCATGAATATTTTACTGTTACAACTTTCCTGTATCTTTGTTTATAAAATGTAAAAAAAAGTGCATCATAAAATGAGATCAAGATGATTTAAACAAGTATCACAGCCCCATAGGCTAACCCACCCAAAGCACATGATAGCATTTCTTGTTTTAATTATTCATAATTCCAAATCTAACAGTATCAGTGATATGATTTGTTTACATAACTGTTCTTTTGTATCATTGTTTATTGATTGTACATCTGTTCTCATTTGTCATCCACTTTCTTATGCCTTGCCTTGTCCCACTTTTTCTGAAACTGTCTAGAATTGTTGCTATCAATAATTATCACTATGTATTCATAGTAACATTTCAATATTTCTCATCTTTTTATAGACAACATATGAAAAAGAGAATTCACCTTTGAGATGAACTTCAATTTTTTCTGGAGGTATAAGTTGATGATCTTCAGCAGCTGTAGGATCATATTGTGCTATCTTTTGTAACAGGTCATTGTTCATGTACTGCAAAAAAAATTTAAAAATATGTGTATGTCATTTTACAAAATCAACATGTAAAACACTATATTCAAAGGCAATCAGACAATAAAAGAAGGCTGACTCACTATAAAAATCCATATTCTTCAAAATAAAATGCTGTAGAACTTTGCAGTTTTTAGCATAAAATTCTGGCCCTAGCTCTGTTTTCAGTTGCAATAAAGTTGAAAAGAATTCATGTAACCCAACATTTAATGCAGTTGCTCCTCTTTATTTTACTATATATTTGGTTAAGTTGAATTCATCAAGTAAGGAAATCTGTGATTTGTTTATATCTTAAAAATTTCCCAAAGCCATTTACTGCACAGTTTCTGTGTAAATGATTATTTAAAACTGACTTACTGTTCTGAGGTTTGTCCAATCATCCAGTTCCCCATTCTGTACTTTTTCAAGGAAGAATATTGCACTAACAGCCTTCACTATTTTGACTACAATCTTTGGCGGGTCATTATAACTTCTCAGTTCAGCGAAGGCTTTAGCATCAATCTTAGAAACATTTTCACGAAGTTCCATCAACATAAGTCTGTCAAACATTATATCCATTCTGTTCTCATCATCCCTTTCAGCTTCTGCAAGATCGAAGAAAAAAAATCTTTGTACAAATTTTATTTTTTATGTACTCTAATAATCCCTATGTCCAAGCTATTTTAAAAGACTTCTCTGCCAATGCTAAACAGTGAATGATGTGAACCCATAAACAGCTGTTTTCAAAAAATCATATGTTTTATAGAGTCCTGTAGATGATATGGGATCATAAAATATTTCTTCCTTAATATACATGTGACCAAACAATTTTGCAATATTTGTAAAGAAACAATTTCACTAAAATTATGTTGATCAGAGATTTCTTACTATGGTGACTATACATTGTATATAAAAGTGCATTAGGTGTACTGTCTGATCAATGGATTCTGTCTTGTGTACATAATTTTATCTTGTTTTATCTAATAAATAATTAAGATGAAATATTTTACAAACTCTCGTACCAAATAAACAAGTTATCAATACCGTAGTTTAAAGGCACTAAACTGGACTCTAAAGTGACATGTGACCTACCTAGCACTATATTTTTATCATCGCCAGCAAATTCTCTTGTAATCTCCTTATGAGCTTGCTGAAGAAGACGTAACATTCTTTGAACTTCTTTGTTTTCATGTGTTGGTAATATCTTAGTCTCTCCAATACTGATGTCTACTACGGCTATAGCTTTGCCATTATCGTCACGAAGAGGGAATGCCAAGTGTCTTTCACCATAAGCATCAGCTGATATACTCTCTGATGTGTCTACTGTCTTGAACAAGTAGTCCCTGAAGTATAAAATAATGTTACAGTTAGAAAATTATAACTTTCATGAAGAGAATGCTGATCATATTGGAATAATAATCCCATGTCTATTTGTTATGAAGTAGAAAAGTTCAATGGAGATCAAAATCAGAATCTGATAATTTTTCTTTTTGATAAAAAAATTTTTAAGGATCTGAAAAAATTTAACAGTGAAAAATCTGTAGGCTGTACTGACATTTTTTGGTGTTTACATCACTTAAAACAATTGTTAAAATTACTTTGAGGTAACATTATTTTTGTTAGATGGTTACTTAAGGGAGAAACTGAAACTGATTTGGGTAGTTCTATTTCAGAAATAATTCATGCAAGCCATAGATTTGTTGTAAATTTTCACATGGCCTGGGCCGAAATATTTGAATTTTAATCTCAGCATAAGCCAGTGATAAAATTAACAAATATAATGACCTAGGCCATGTGAAAATGACACCAAATCTATAACACCAAAAGATAGACATCCTACATATAGACTAACCAAATATCTGACCAATAACAAACCTAAACAGATTATCCTTCCTTTCAAGTCTGGGTGGATTTATTAAGTTCTGAACATTGCCTTTAGCATCCGTGTTCATCATCTTCCTGAGAACATAGTCCTGTTTCTCTTTACCATCTGGTTCCACCATGTAGGTGGATATCTCATGAACATGTGGATTTCTACGATGAATCCACGATACAGCACTTTCTGTGATACGTAAGAGTTTCTTTCTCATGTCAATGTGATGGTATGCTATGCTGAAGGCCTTTGCCACACCCTGCAAGAACAAATTGTATACCTTATCAAAAACTGTAGGCCTAATCTTAATTAACATCAAGCAATATCCTTTATTACTTTATCATCAGTTCGCATTAAAATATAATACCGCCCTCCAGCACTTATTCACAGACTCATTAATAAAAAATGTCTTTTGATTTTATGCCGTTTGATTGCCTTCTTATTGACAAATACCCCATTTCTTTTTCATTCATGAAGAAAAATATAAACATGAGCTAAAAATGATTCTATGTTATAGTGTTATCTTATTGACTGCAGGTAGAAATTTAGATAATGAATTTATAGAAGGCATACATCCAACCTATAATTGCCAAATAAAAACCCAATTCTCATGTTTGTCACAATTTAGTTGATATATTTTACTTTAAAATTGTCCCAAAAATTCTCGCCTTGCTTCTATCCACTGTATTTATTCCTTTTTCTGGGATTACACCCCCTTTCAAACATCCTGGATTCATCCCTATATGCTTATTTAATGGTATAGGGAGGGACAAAATTTCAAATCAGGCACATAGGTTTTAAATAAAAATATTAACAGAAGAAGTAAACATTTTTCAATTGTCTTAACAACCAATAAGAAACTAGATAGTGTTATAATGAACTACATATTTGTCCTGCAATATGGCTTTCTCTTGGATTATTGAAGTGTGTTTTAAACTTAACACAGTGAAAATTTTTATTTACTCATAACTTTGAAGCTTTTGGTTTTAGTCAAACATGAATGTCACGAAAACGGTGTATTCATTTTACATTACCTGGAAGTACTGTATTTCATGAGTGATAAAAATAGTCTTGGAATGTCTGTCGTTTAGTGTGTCTACTCCAATTAATCCAAACACTCTCTTTCTCTTGTCCTTTAATGGTACTACAATAAAGGATCCCTCTCGGTCCTAAGTAATATAAAATATGGTTTGATTGTTAAAATAGAGAAATCTTATAAAAGATTATATGCAAATGTGAGAATAGTATTTTTATAAATAAAAAAAGTCTTTGCTCACTTTCACCCTAAATATACAGTAGAACTAATTGTTAAAATGCACATCTTGTGCATTAAAATTGGTATTGTCAATGTTATTAAAACCATAGCAAATAAAATTATTTTTTAGAGCTGCAAAAAGATTGAATGACTGAATTATTATTGACATGCTCAGCTTACACTAATCAACCATTTTCACAGTAATAAACAAATATTTAAAATGGAAATTACCATTTCACTATATTTTTAAGATCACAAATTTTCGTATAATGATACAATTTTGAAGGAGATATAATTACCTCTGGTAGTCTGTATGGATTCCAGAACTGTACATTACCATGGTTTGCCACTCTGGGTACATGTATTGGTTGGCCTCGTTCAACAGATGCAAAACTGTAAGTAAATTATCTCCCTTTTCAAAAATGTTTTTGGATTCAATGAAGGATTTGTCTCAATATTTTAAATGAAATAAATCTTTGTTTTTTTTATAAAACATTGTTATAATACTAATAAACTACGATGTTTACAAAAATAAAACTGATTGTTCCCAATAATCGTCAGAATGATAAAAACAAAACAATAAGCATCAAACTTGAATTTATACCACAGAGGGAAATACACACCAAACATTCATAAAAAAAGGTTTTGATAGATTCTGCTTAATTTGGATGGGCTTTACATGAATACCATAAATCCATCCCCCTGTCATATCTCAAAGCAATGATTTTATACATTTTTGTTTATGAAAAGGGATGTGGTTAAGTATGGTTAAATTTAATCAAATCTGATTTTAAGGTGGTACCAAACACCTCGACTTATATTAATTTGGCTCGTTTAATTTTCATAAAATTTTGAAAAAATACTTACTTTGACCCTTTGACAAAAATATAAAATTTTCAAAAAACTTGAACCACACACTTTATTGGAAAAATTTCATTGGATATATAGCAGTTTGACAAACACTAATTTTGATCATTGAGAAGCTTAATATTTCCTTAACAATAGAACGTGATTGAAACGTTCAGCTGATTTTTACAGAGTTATCTCCCTGCAGTGTTATGTACCACCTTAAAGGGTTTACAAACGGTATAAAGGCTACAGAATATGATTTTTGTTTACTCAGAAATGAAAGCAATTTTAAGTGCTTAGAAAGTTGCACAAAAATAAGTCTAAAATTGAAAAGTATATAAATCTCTTGAAATGATCTTAAAAAAAATATTGAAGGATCTTTTTTTTTATATCTTACTAATAAACAATCTAGCCATCTTAAGTATAAACATCTTACCTTATTCCTTTCATGTCTTTGTAGAGTATTTTACCGAGAAGGAAGTCGGCATCATCAATAGTTGCAGCCACATATCGGAGACAAACTTCCCCTCGTTCCTGATCAAAACGATTTCGCTCCAACATAGCAATATTAGAACTAATCTTCTTACCATTTCCATGGGCTTCAGAGTCCTGAAAATTTAGAAATAATTTAATCTGACAATAACAGACACCTAGTTCAATACCTCTACATTTAGGAAAGATGGACTCTGTACTATATTTCAAATAAGTAAAAAGAATATGCATCCATAGGACACCAGGTCCCGCTAGCACTATCCCATTTCCATGTTCAGTGAACCATGAAATTTGGGTAAAAGCAACAACGATCAAAATGAAATCAATGATGATGTCATAGAATGGTCACTTTTCTGTGTTTGTGTAAAATACATATCTCTTGAATATCTATAATATTTGAAATATTTCACAGTCAAAACTTTACAGAAATCTTTCAAAACTTTCAGAATTAATATGATTTAGAAGTACTTGATATTAAAGACCAATTGCACTTTAACTTCTCTGTCAACAACAATTGAAACAAGGTAACAGTGATTGCATTAACCTACCTTATATAAAGCCTGGAAGACACTCTTATAAACTGGTTCCATACTGGCCCCACTTGTCTCTGCAGCACTGACAACCTGTTGTAACCATTTCTTTCTTGCCTCTCCTCTAATTCTCTCAGCATAGGTTCTCTGTAAAATTAAAAGTTAGTGTCAAAATACAACTAATTTTTATTCAAAAGTCCATTTCAAATGTATGCTCACATTGTATCAGAATGTATTCATCATCATAATTAGCCTGGGCAACAAGGGTCAAAATATGTTTCTTATTGTCAAGTCATATTTACTCCATTTCCAACAATTTTGCCATGTTTTTTTATTCATTTAAATGTTGAACATGAGAGAAAAAACCAATCTAAGACAAGGATACAAGACTGGATATTCTATGATTCCTCCTGGTCAGAATCAATTCTAACACTGTATATTGAAAACAAAATTCAAACGATCTAATATTATAAATTTTATCTCCCGCACATTTTGATAAGGGTGTATAACTCTTATCTCAACATAACTCTTACCTCCACACTATTGGTTAGGAAATCTATATAATAATCAAATGAATCAGCACCAGAAATTTCCTCTCCAACAGCCTCTTTCTTAAACTTATATAAGGGCACATAACTCTTACCTCCACACTATTGGTTAAGAAATCTATATAATAATCAAATGAATCAGCACCAGAAATTTCATCTGTTACGGCCTGAACAAATGTTCTGAATTCTCTCTTACTGAGTCGGTTGTCCTGTGCATATTTAGTGGTCTTCTTTAACCTTGTTTTAGCTGTAAGGCAAAAGAGAGCTTATTATGAATAATATTTATAATATACTGAGTACAAAATGACAGCCAGTCAGAGAAACAAACGCATTTTTTTAACAAACAAAGGATAGACTAACATATATTCTAGAAAGATTTTTATAAGTATACAATATTATTTCTCCTTTGAATAATATATTTTCCACACTGTTCATTCTGTCATGAATACATATTTTTTTCTGTTAGAAGAGGTGATTCCTAACAATCATTTGTAATTTAACTTTAAGTTTTAATAGCTTCTATTACATAACATTTACATTTAGATATACTGAAGGCAAATTATACCTAATACTTTATACCAATTTTGATATATTACACAATTTACTACCTACTCTGCCACCACTTACAAAAATATAATTGAAAAAAGACCCTTATTTATACACAACGTATAAAAATGTTTTGATGATGTTAAAAATACCTACTTTTTTAAAATCCTTGTACAAACAGTCGAAAAGAAGAAATAACATAACATTTAAATAAAGAGATAGTAGTACAAGTAACATATAAAAGAATAAAAAGAAGAAATCATGTCATTTTTATGTATGATAGAAAATATAGTTCAATGCATAGATTTGTTTTGTAAAGAAATTATTTTAGGTTCTATTCAGTTACTAGCACATATATTGAATTTTATGATAATATTTAAAAAAAATTATATTTATGTGTTTATTTTTATCATAGCGGACAATCACCAAAGCAAATAACCTAAAAGCCTTTTTTCTTCAAACTTTTACAAGTCCTAAAGAATCATTAAGAACTGTGTAAGTACAAAAAGACTTCACAAGTTGTCATGCTAAAAATTCCCCCACTTGTGATTCAAAATAATTCGGTAAAAGTAGGAACAAATCCCCTTAATGGGCCCAAACTTAACAACTCATCACTACCAAGCTGCTGACCAAATATGAAGTCATTCAGTTTGGTCGTACTGGAGAAATGTTTAATGAAAAATTCAAGTTCATTTAACATTGAAATATTCAAAGTACAATCAGAAAGTATGTGTCTTACAGATCCTAAAAGTGCTCATATTTTACAACACATCACTGACACCCTGCTGACAAAAAATGAAGTCGTTCTGTTCAACGGGATTGTGAAAAGTGTGACAGAAATATTTGTTGGACAAATGAATAAACAGGAGAACAATTGGACATACAAGGTGAATGTAATGTGTGGGGGTATAAAAAAATGTGTAAAAAAAAATGGCTAAAATCTATAGATCCTAAACACAACATCTAGGTGAATAATAATAAACCCATTCCTTTCTATTTTCTAAAAACAACATTTTTTTACATCATTCTTACATAAATTTGATTGTTTATTTTCTTTTGTTTCTGGCACTATTGCTAAAATAAACAGATCATGTTGCATGAGGTCAGTGGAAAAACAGATTAAATATTCATTTATTGACAAAAGAAAACAAACTTATATAGAAGACATCTTGTGTACATATAAGTTAGTGTGTGCATGTGTTTTCTTGTTTTATTCTGTAACATATTGTAAAACATCAATTCAATTTTGATATACAAAATTCAAGAATAGAATGTGCATTTTCTTTTATACTTATAAAACAATTACAAATACTCATGAAATAAGTTGCCTCATGGAAACTTTATATCAAATTTTGATAAATATACAAACCCTTATTGATGGCCTCATTTTCCTGTCCATCTTTATATCTAACCATAATGCCTTCCACATCCTCCAGATCCAGGAATCCTGATCCATCATTATCCCATTTCTCAAACAGCTGATCCATCATATGTTTTCTCTGAGATGACAATGCCTCTTTACGAGCCTAAAAATAAAATGTACAGACATATTGACCTCAGATAGGAAGAAATATATTCATATTTTACTTAAAGTTACTATTTGCAGTACTGATTCCTCATATGGATAGGTTTCACTTCCAGAGTCATGGTGGAGTGTATCACAATCATCATACAGGGGTTACTCAAAATTATCATTCAAAAGATGTTTTGAAAGATTGACCAGGCATTAGATAAAATCAGTGCTAAAAAATTGAAAACCAACAAATCCAAACAAAAAATTGTCTAATGCAATATTTTTTTTATCCAATCAAAGTGTAAAAAGAGCCTTCTAAAACACTCCAAAAACTTTGTCCTGCTAACTTTGGTTTGGATTGGGAAATTCACTGAGTGGACTTAGATGAAACGAAATTGTGAAATATTTAATCAAGGATACAGAATGATGACAAAAGGTCCTAAGTGACAACATTTTTTTCTGCAATTTCACAACAGTTTGAATTAACTTTGTACCTTAATAAGTCGGTCCATCTTTTCTTCTTCTGTCTCTTCATATCCTTCTTTGATAAACTTGGCCAACATAACAAAGGCCTCTTGTTTTGGTTTCTCATCTTTACACAGGAATGTTTCTGTTAGCTGTACAAACTGTGATACATTCAGTACATTCTCATCAAATGCTGATGTTCCTGATTGTTGACTACGTGCTGTCATTACTGCAAAATTTAAACATGAAAATACTCATAAAATTATCAAGTAACTATACAAAAAAAACAACATTTGGAAGTTTTTATGCTTTCATTATTGTTTTTACTGAGGAGAATAAATCTACACATGTATTTATAATTAAATCTTAGCAATACTTTCTAAACCAAGAAGGTTAAGTATGTACTGTCAGTAGAACAAGTCATTCAGTAGACTTCAGGATTAACAATTTATCCAAATTGTAAGCCAATACCAAAAGGGGTAACAAAAAACATTAAGTTGATGAAAGACAGACAACATAATGGCATAAAAAAGACAAAATACAAACAACAGTTCACTGAAACAAAAAGAATGAGAAACATGAATCCAACCAAAAACTATGTGGGTGAATTCAGGTTCTATAAAAAGGTAAGCAATTCCTGTTCCACTAGTGGCATCTATCATGTTAGACTTAATGTCATGGTAAAATCTCAAGATATACAAAAGTAGTCATAAACAAGGAAAGGAGGACATGATTGGGTTTTTTTGACAATTTGCATCTGAGTGAACTTTCAACAACCTTAAATAAAAGCAAAATGAGTCAGGTTCAAAAGTTAAAATAAAAAATCAAATTTGACATCAAGAATGTATTAAGAAAATTATTTCATGTATTATTTTTTGCAGAAGTAAGAAGTTATAGGACTAATACATTTCTTTCTGAAGAGTGAATCTTAGTCTAATATTATTGGATTTGCTTTCATGCACCATTGTGTCAAACCACATCTCTCTCCTCCACCAGACACCCCCATACCTTACCCAATACCATAAACAAAAAAATATTTCAGTGTAATCATCCCATGTCAGAGAACATTCAGCAATACTACATTTCAATGCAATTTGATATTAAAGATTAAACAAAAAATAAACTGTTGACACAGAGATATGTCTAGCCTGTCGGCATAAAATTCAGAAAAAGAAAATCTGATGGACAGCAATATTGCTAATTAATTCAAAGTCGCTGGACCAACTAGTAGGTAGGGCCTTCAAATGGTTGACAAACTGAGATTTACAGACAGCAATGTAACTTTATAGAATATATTGTTGTCAATTGTAAGTAGTTCCTATCAAACTAACTAAAGCAGAAAATTAACATTGAAAATTGTTAATTATTTGAAAGTCACTGGACCATGACCTAGGGGACAAGGCCTCAAATTAGTCATCAAACTGATATGTACTGATATCAATGCAACTTCATACAAAATATCATTGATCTATCACAAGTAGTTTCTATCAATCTAACTTAAGCAGAAAACTTAACAGTGAAAATTTCTAATTAATTAAAATTCACTGGACCATGGCCAAGGGGGCAGGGCCTCAAAATAGTCGTCAAACTGATAAGTATTGATAGTAATGCAACTTCATACAAAATATCATTGATCTATCACAAGTAGTTCCTATCAAACTAACTTAAGCAGAAAACTTAACATTTAAAATTGCTAATCAATTCAAAGTCACTGGACCATGGCCTAGGGGATAGGGCCTCAAAATAGTTGTAAAACTAATATGTTCAGATAGTAATGCAACTTCATACAAAATATTATTGATTTACACAAGTAGTTCCTTTCAAACTAACTTAAGCAGTAAACTTTAAAATTGTTGACACAGTCGCCGTCGACGGAAAAGCAATCCCTATGTCTCGCTTTCCACAACTTTCGTTGTACAGGCGAGACAAAAACCCACTTTGATGTAAGAGTATATAATACCTACCAGTTCTCTCCCTATCAAAGGTGGTTCCTTCAGCAAACTTAACACTACTTAATGGATTTGTTGTCTCTGAGTGGATAGATTCTTTAGACTGTTCTCTACTCACACTGATGTCTATACAGAATATAATCAACAAATCGAGTAAATAACATGTATTGGAATCTATATCTAGACGGTATACCTTATAAATGAATCTATATTTTAATCTTATAAGTTTGAAATGCATTGCAATAATATTGTTGCAACTTTATAAAATAACACTCCATTTGTACATACAGCATATTATACATTGATAACTTACAATAAGGATATTATCAACTGAAAATATGACAAAACTTCATGCAAAAATAATTAAATCAAAAAGAAAAAACATGCAGTAAATGAACTCATGCAAATTTTTTTCAGGAAAATTAATCTTGCAGTTCAAGTCTTTTCCTTGGACAATCGTTTTCTTCAATTTGTGTAAAATAGGCATTTTCTGTAAGCAAAAATTAAAAAAAATATTTGGAAAGTGTAATTTCTATCGGGCTTTTTTACTCATTACCTTCAGATGAAGTTTTAACCTCCTCAGTTTTTTCTACATTAGATGCCTCTTTAACATCTGTATTATTGTCTGTTTTTGGTTCCTCCTCCTTCTTTTCTTCTGGAACATTTTCACTTGTTTCACTAGCTTTTGTGTCATCAGACTTAACCTCTTCTGTTTTTGAACTATCTCCTTCAGTTTTCTCTCCCTCTGTCTTTTCCGGTTCTTTCTCTTTGGTGTCTTCAGTTTTAGGTTCTTCTTTAACAGATTCCTGTTCCTGTGTTGGTTTTACTTCAGACTTCTCAGTCTCAGTCTTAGGCTCAGCAGGTGCTTGTTCTTCTCCTTTAACCTCTTCTGTGGGTTTTGATTCTTCACCTTTAACCTCTTCTGTAGGTTTTGATTCTTCACCTTTAACCTCTTCTGTAGGTTTTGATGCTTCCTCTTCTGTAGGTTTTGATTCTTCTGCCTTTGATGATTCAGTGTCGGTAGGTTTAGCCACTTCTGCAGAGGCATCAGATGGTTTAGTTTCTTCCTGTTTTTCTGCTTCTTCTGTTGGTTTAATTTCATCACTCTTACTTTCTTCAGGTTTAAGTGATTCTTCTGTCTTCTGTTTTTCTTGAGGTGGAGGTGTTGTGGGTTTTTGTTCCTCTTGTTTAGGAGGAGTCTGCACTTCTTGTTGTTGAGGAGGTGGAGTTTGTGGTTTTTGTTCAGTTTTAACTGATGATGATAATAAATAACAAAAACAAAATAAACAACATACAAAAAAAGTAAACAGAAATAAAGAAAACATAAACTTCATGCAAACAAAATTTTCAAAAAGAATTAAACTGAAATTTCTTTCAAGATTGTTTCTAAATGAAAAGTTAAATCTACTAAATGTGTGGAATCTTCATATTGCAGTGTTTATAACCAATTCATTTAAATGTGTGTGAACTCTGCTGTACTAAGGAATAATCAATTTTAATATGTTCATAATATTTTCATTACATAGGTGTTTCTTTGGAGCAGGTCAAGTTCAATCCTAAAATATTGTGAAATCTTTTAATTTATTGTTTACTTATTTTGTCAATTGAGCAAAAGTTGTTGGATTTTAAAACATGTTATATGGTAGTTTGTTTCTGTTATGCCCCAGTCACATTGTTTTGCAGTTAAAGGTTCTAAATACTTGTTTTGTACTTTTGGGCAGTTATTAAAGGTAACTAAGCAACAAACTGAACATAGAATCTTAACTTTTAAAGGGAACATCACTCTAGGATATGGTATTGAAAATATCATGAAGAAAACTTCTTTGTAACAATGTTTTCACCAAGAGAATTATAAATGATCACTCGTCAAATATATTAGTCATTAAGTCTCCCAGTCCAATATGACATACCTTCATCTGTTGATTCTGCTACTGTTGTTGTCTCTTTTGAGGGTGCAGGCACCTCTGATTTCTGTTCAGTCTCCTGTTCAGGTTTAATTTCCTCATCATCGTCATAAGTGTCTTCAACTTCATCTACTTCAACCACAGGCCCTGTAAAATAAAAGAAGAAAATATATAAACTGCTTATTCCACTACAACCACAAGCCCTGTAAAATATAAAGTAGGAATAAATAATGTTACACATTGGCAATCAATAAATTCTACATATTGAGCCTAATTCTTCAAGAAGACAAGGGTTGTAACCTATGTTTTATTGTGTGATTTATCACAAACCCTACCATCATACAACATATCTTAAAATCACAAATATGACAATACAATGTAAAACTGTATCAACTCCTCTCTAGACAGACATTTACACCTTACAATCATTCCATACACCAATTATAGTTGACCAATTGCTATAAATATTTGAAAAACAGACCAAAACACAAAAACCTAACATTAACCAATTCAATGAACCATGAAAATGAGGCCAAGGTCAGTTGACACCGGCTAGACAGACATGTACACCTAACAATCATCCCATAAACCAAATATAGTTGACCTATTACTTATAGTACTTGAAAAACAGACCAAAACACAAAAACTTAACATTGACCAATGAACCATTAAAATGAGGTCAAGGTGCTAGGTCAGATGACACCAGCTAGACAGATATGTACACCTTACAATCATTCCATACACCAAATATAGTTGACCTATTGCTCACAGTACTTGAAATACAGACCAAAACACAAAAAAATTATAATGACCAATGAACCATGAAAATGAGGTCAAGGTCAGATGAAACCTGCCAGTCTGACATTTACCCCTTACAATCATTCCATACACCACATATAGTTGACCTGCTGCTTGTAGTATCTGAAAAACGGACCTAATCATGTAACGTTAACCTTGATCACTGATCAATGAATTGATGTCGAGGTCAGGTTAATCCTGTCTGATGGACATGTAGATGTTGCAAGGAACCCATATATCAAATATAGTTACCCTATTACTCATAATAAGTGAGAAATTCACATGACAAAAATTTTTTTTTTCCAGCAGTCACTGAACCATGAAAATGAGGTCAAGGACAATGGGCATATGACAGACAGAAACTTCGTAACATAAGGTATCTGCATACAAGGTATGAAGCATCCAGGTCTTCTACCTTCTGAAATATAAAGCTTTATACAAGTAGTTTACGCCGCCGCCAGATAGTAATACCTATGTCTCGCATACTATATATGACTATCGTCGTAGGCGAGACAAAAATAGGTTATTCCAAAACACAAAATTAAAAGTGTCTGGTAATGGGTTATAGCTTGACTGGTTTCCTTTTTATTTGTTTTTATCTTTGTTAAATGTTTTTAATTAGAAAGGGCCAAACCTAAATTGCCTTTGCTTCTAATAGAGCAGTTTTACAAAGCAATTTTTCTTTTTGAAATCATAATATTTAACTGATTTTCAATATCTTCCGGTGAAAAATGAGACCTTTAAAAAAACAAGTGAAAGGTCTGTATATAACATGATAAATCATGTCATAAAATTATATACAAGATTTTTTTCTCATGAAAACAACTTTCATATTGTAGTAGTGTCATTTTTACGCCTATTAAATAACATTAAAAATATCTTTATAACATTCTTCAAATTAATTTATTATAAACGTTTAACTCTTGAATTTTGATAAAGGAATATTATAATTTGATTCCAAATCTACACTTTACTTTTTATATTGAGTTCATGAATATTCAAAAGGTTCTTAGTTAAAATTACGTATCTGATTGGTCATTGTGATTTCGCGGTCAATTTATATTTTGTATTGACCAGGTAGATTTGAACGGGAACTTGAAAATAACAGTTGCATGATATTGTGTGTCCCGAATTTATATTACCTGTACATTATCATTTTCATTCACTGTGGACACAACATATTACCTGATTGATGTAAGTTAATCTCTTCGTAATATAATTAATATTTAAATTTAGCAAAGTTTCTATTGTATGACTTAATTCGTTCTCCACGTAAAGTTTGGTTATTACATTAGTATGATAGATGTACCCGAGAATATTTTATCTAGCTTCGTGCTACATATATTTTATTATCTACCGTTAATTTGCCACGATAGAATATAGAACAAGATAATTTGCGTAGCTATTTGATTATTGACACAGATAATTGATATTTCATAAATGGCGGCATATTAAACAAAATAATTAAAAGTGTTAATGTTGATATTTATTAGTACACTTATATTATACACTGTAATGATAGAAGAATAACTATGAATGAACTTGAGTTATTTTGTGATATTGTATATTTTAATATTTTACGAGTCCGAATGTTCATGATTACATTTTGGTTTTAGGACTCCATTGATGTAGTTATATACAGAGTATTACTTGTGAACTGTGCCTACTCTTTACTACCAGTAAAACTCACTCCACAAGCGGTATGAGTCAATCTATTCTTAATTATGTAATGTTGTAAACAGAACGTTATGGATTATTTCCCTTTAAATATGCAGTTTTTAAGCATATTTAATATATTGGCTTCATTAGTCTTTATAAAAATAGTATTTACAACTTGATGATTGTTGTAATGTTATTGTATGTAAAAAACAAATAATATAATATGTTCCGATTAGTTTAATGTTATATGTGCAGTTTTAACTTTAGTTTTGTACCATTATATAGTACAATATTTATGATTAAGGGTGTCAATCTTGTGTAGTGTATCACAATGAGAATTAAAAGTACATGTGACATCAATTTACTGAATGTACTTATTCTTGAATTAGTAGTATAGTACACAGTAATATAGAGCATTGTATTTTACTATTACAAAATCTGATAATGTGTAATTTAAGATACTTGTGTTTTATAAAATAGAACTGTTATTTATGATTGTGATATTGTTATTTCAGAGTTTATTTTTCTATTACTGGTATTAAATCATCCGAACCCTATAAACAGAGTTAGTTATTTCTTTATCCAAGATACGACCCTGTTACAATATAATTTCACTAAAACTGAAATTGTTGAATTATGGCTTTAAAAGCAAACATTTCTTACATCTTCTAGGGTTTCTCACATGCATCTTTATGTTATCTTTCACTGTATCCCAGAAATTCTCAAACAAACTCAAAATTCTGTGTCTGTCCAACAATCCAATCTGTAAATATTATATTGATACATGTGAAACTCAAAAAGGAAAGTTAAAATAAGATTTGTTATGGAAAACTTCAGTCAAAATGTTTTTGCACTGACAATCTTCCCCATATATATTTACAAATAGCAATTTTAATGTATGTAATTCTGTTAACTTTTTGTTTTATTACTGTGTAATATGTAGGAGATTTTGCATTGCCGATCTTTTCATTACAGACAGACTAACAAAGGGAGAGAACAACGACAAAAAAAAAAGCATATCTTCATATATATCATTAGGGAAGGACAGTTAAATAAAATTATACTGCCAATATTAAAATATTTTCATCTACCCTAAGTTAAAATATTGACAGAAAAGGTTTCCTTGTCATTGATTAAATCATTAATAAAAGGACATATATGAGACAAGCACCAATAAGAAATAAACTTAACAACCTCACAATATACTTAACCCAGCCACATTTTTTATGTATTTGTTTTTCGTTTATTGTTTTGTCGTAAAACAGGCTGTTGGTTTTCTCATTTGAATTGTTTCTCATTTTGATATTTGTCGGGGCCTTTTATAGCTGACTATACAGTATGGGTTTTTCTCATTGTTCAATGCAGAACCATAACTTTATTTGTTTACTTCCATGTCATTTTGCTCTGGTGAATAGTTGTATCATGGCAATCATAGTACATCTCCTTAATTTTATATACACAGAAGGTACTCAAATCTTCAAAGCCATTTTATACAATAGACAGCACCCCAACAACAAAGAGTATACAAAATGTAAATACAAAAAAATAAAAGAAGAATGTGTGTGAGGACACAAATGCCCCCGCAAGCTCTCCTATTTTGCAAGAACTCTAGAACAGTAAATGACTCACTGCCCAAATTGGAACTCTGTCTGTGTGTTGTGGTTCTTAGCATTGTGTATGAGTTTCATTAAATTTGGATGAGGGAAACTTAATAGAGTGCAGAAAAAAAGAAATAGAAGTTTTCCAAGTTATAAAGGGGCATAACTCTAGAATGATAAGTGACTCACTGCCAAAATTGGAACTCTGTCTGCAAATTTTGGTTCTTAGCATTGTGCATGAGTTTCATAAAATTTGGATGAGTAAAACTTGTTAGAGTGCGGAAACGAAAATGGGATGGATGGACAGACAGACGGACAGTCAAGGGTAACACTTAATGCCCCATTGCCTACAGCAGGGGCCATAAAAAGAAGATTGTGTCTGAGGACAACAAATGCCCCCACTCAAGCTTAGCTATTTTTCAAGTTAAAAAGAGGCATCACTCTAGAACAGTGAATAACTCACTGCCCAAATTCAAACTCCTTCTGTATGTTGTGGTTCTTAGCATTGTGTATGAGTTTCATAAAATTTGGATGAGGGAAACTTAAGTTAGAGTGTGGAAATGAAAATAAATAGCAGTTTTCCAAGTCATAAAGAGGCATAACTCTAGAATGATAAGTGACTCAATGCCCAAATTCCAACTCTGTCTGAATGTTTTGGTTCTTAGCATTGTGTATGAGTTTCATAAAATTTGGATGAGTTAAACTTAAGGTAGAGTGCGGAAACAAAAATGGGATGGACGGACAGAAAGATGAACGGAAAGACAGACAGTCAAGGGTGACGCTTAATGCCACTGTTGCCTACAGTGAGGGCATAAAAAAAAAAAAAAATTTGCTCATATTTTTACTATGTTCTAAAATAGTACTTAAAGTAACCTGTACAAAAATCTAAACCTGAGTTCTCAAAAAGAGGTGGCCACCAAATTTTGCAAAGGACCAACACAATTTTGATATTTTGCAATAGAAATAATAGTGAGGACCAGCAGATTTTCTTCAAGGACCATTAGGGAGAAAAATTTTTGTAGAATTCTGTCTAAACCAAGCAAAACACAGGAAGAAGGTTCCCATTGGGGTTTTAAATTATTCTTTTACAAATAAACAATAACATTGTGAAGGTTAAAGAAGCAGTTAAATATATATCCTTTTAGATTGATTGTTTTGCTGTTTATATGCACTTTCAGCACTATTGGTTTTTTTCATGGCGGTCAGATTTTATTGGTGGAGGAAGCTAGAGTGCCCAGAGAGAACCACTGAACTTCTGCCAGAAACTAGCAATCCTTTAAGAATATAGATTGTTGCAAAATAAAACTTACACCACTATGATCACATGAAATGAATAGATTTGACAGAGCTATTCTCCTGTTTTCTTCTTGTGTAGCTGCTCTATAGGATACAGCACATTTGGCTAAATGCTTCATAAATTCATCAAATAAATCTCTGGTTAAATCTTCAACAAAAGCACTCAGATACTGAAAACAAAGATGAATAAATTCATTTAAAAAACACAAATGTTTGTGTGAAATATAACACTTGCATACAAAAATACAACATCAAATCACGTACAGCAAAGTTTCTCATATTACTCTTTTTTAAATTGTATCGAAAAAATATTTACAAAAACATCCAACTAAAATTATACTTTTTCATACTATTTCAGGCTAAATTACCATACAAGAGTGGACACCATAATATTTTGCCTATGTATCGCATTCTGAGAACTTCGTCCAAGACAGGACAAAATTTGTGATCTTTAAGATTGAATAAAACTTTCCAGAAGATCAGAACTGAAATCTCTCATTTGGAACTGCTTGAAAAGTGTATTCATGCAACTGGTTCTAAAGAATATCTATATTGCATATATTAATCTTTTCACAGATGCAAATATTTTATCAACAACTATATATATATATAAGTTAAATACTTTGGCAAAATCTTTCACAGTGAGACATTTCCCACTTTCGTCAGTTGCCTCCAGACTACGACTTAGTTTAGCAGCATCTCTCAGTTCTTCAGGGAATGTTGCTTCTGCTATTTCAGAAAAGGATCTTAAAGCATTCTGTACCTGTTAAAAATAAACAAAAATACCATGTTATCTGTTGTGATCTTAAAGCATTATGTACCTGTTAAAAATTTAAAAAAAAAGCATGTTTCCTCTGCATATAAATCAAACAAATGATGTACTAGTATTATTGTAACAGAAGAAATGTAGACATCATGTCTATTGTAGTAACACATGACCAAAGTTAAGTACGTTAATGAAAGAGTTTAAAACATTTCAAAATTAGATATTTATTTCCATAAAAATCATTGTTACATTGTTCCAATACCCCTTCAACTTTTTATTAACTTTTTAATTCTGTTATACAGGTATTTTTCCTACATAAGATAACTTTGTAACTACTATGAACTTATAGATGTGAATGTGAACCAAATACTTAATGAATATTATCAAAAAATAATGCAGCTCATTTCTTAACTACCACTGGGCTATATTTGCCCAGAAGCTAGTGCTAAGGTATTGATATGATTTAAATGATATGTATTATTCCAGTTAATGAAACAAATTTTATTTTAAATTTCCAGTTAATGAAATATTTATGATAATTGAGATAAAACTAAGTTTTGAACTTCCTCTAGCAAAGTTGACCTCAGACGATTTTGGTTGTTCTCTTTAGAAACATGCGTTGCTTGCATATAAATCATATCACTTGGGGTTTTAAGATACTAATATAATTAAAATGAATGTGGTATATTAATATCATATTAATATGTAATAGTGCTGAATATGCATATAATATTTGCCATTGAACATTAAGATTATATTAATCATTTAACCTACTATTACTTTCCATTTTAATAATAATTATAATATAAAATACCAAAGAAAGCTCCACTTTTCCTTCTGGAAGAGAATTCCATTCTCTAAACTGATCCATAAAGCAATTTTCTCTTCTTTCTCTCTCTTTCTGTTTAATTTCTTCTAATTTTTCCCTTTCTTCTCTTCTTCTCTTAGCTTCTGCTTTTATTCTGGCTAATCTATAGGTTATTAAATAGAAAAGTAATTAAACAGTTATGCACATGTGTATTGTACGGTTCATGAAATTCTATGAACCTACATGTATGTAATAAAGCCTAGAGGTTCTTTGCGAGACTTGGAAAATATCAGAGAAAAGTATTTTTACAAGCTTCTTGTCATAGGGACAAGAGAAACAAATCATTGGAACATTATGTGTAAGTTAAAAGTTATTTCTTACACCAGTTAAAGTAACTCTTATAATATACTGATACATGCAAGATTTTGCATGACAGGTTGTACATTTTGCTTTGAATTACCTTTCTTTCAAAACTAATAACTAGGATTTGGTTCTTTTCCTTCGTAAATTTTATTACTGCTATATATGGACCTTTATATCAGAAGGTACAATTTTGTAATGAAAGAAGTAATATGATTTGATATTTTAGGAAAACATACAACAAATAATGAACTTTGCAATTTAAATGTCCTTCATCCACACATGTCAAACATGTACAGTCCTTACAAATATTACTAAATTTAAGTCTTTTAAGGATTGCCAGTTTTCCTGTTGAAAGTTGTGGTTCCCAACCGGGTACTCAGGCTTCCTCCAGACCTCCACCAATAAAAACTGGCATCCATGATATACATGTACAGCCAAAAGTGCTGAAAATGGCATTAAACACTAAAAATCAATCAATATATATATATACCTATTGTCTTCTATGTTGAACAGTTGTTTTCTAAGTTCATCAGCAACTTCTCGTAGCCCTCTAACATAGGGAGATGCCTCTGAAAAATTACTGTACTTTGGATTGTTTCTCAGTAAATACTGTGCCAGAAAATTAATTGGATTAAAGTCAGGATCTTCTTCATTTTCTTCTGTCAATCCTTTCTTGTCAGCTTCAGTCAAAAGTTTTTCTACACCTAAAATCAACGTCGGGAGAACTTTGTCAACAAGATATGCTCTGACCTCTAATGTAGCTTCATTGTCATTTAACCACTGTTTAGCTAAGATTTCTGTTGGAATTTTCCTTGCCATTTTTCTAGCATCATCTCTTGAACTTCTTGTGTTGTTTTTCTTCTCATTTCTCATTCCTACTAATTTTTCCATCATGTTTTGCTCATGAAGCCTCTTCCATCTCCTTACAGCACTCCTTACAACTGGTTTCATATAATCAGAGCCAGTTGGTGTGTGTTTCCCACTTCCAGGAGTCATGGACTGTCTACCGGGACTCTGTGGTGTTGTCATGGTTACTCTCTTGGTTGGACTTCCTGTTCGACCAGAGCCTGGCTTTGAAGTCAGAACATCGGCCATGATTGCTCAGCCTGAGAGATCTATAAGAGTGATACATATGAAAACAAAAATAAACAATTAATTTACTCCATGTTTAAAAAATTGCATTGAAAGTTCCTTATCTGATATAATATCAGCATAACAAAAATAATACTCTTGGTTCATCCTCATAGTTAGTAAGATTGGCTATTTCTTTTTCCTTATTGATTGTTCAAAGGATGATTAATGGAGCATGTCTGCCAACTTACACCATTTACACCATTGCAAAATCCTTCTCATGCAAATAACCCTATGCAGAGATTTAAAAGTTTTTTTCAGAAATTTGAGTTGTATTCCTCTGTCTGTATGTCAGAATTACAAAAATGGCAACCAATTTGGACAAATTATCACACTGCCACAGAAGAAAAGCAAGGTTAAATTCAGCAGCTGGTTGACAAACTTAAAAATACAGATATCACATGCCTTTTGCAAAGTCTGCAATAGAGAACACAAAGTTGGCCATGCTGGCCTGAAAAGTTGAAAGTTCATAGTATGCAAGGGCTGTTCAAATTCTTTATCAGAAAACTTCACAGCTCATGATCAGAATTACTGTGTCTGTCAGTAACTTCTTTGTACAACCAGATGATGAGTAACTCAAGACAGACATGCAGTTAATACTTAAGAACTGTTTATAAGACATTTTTATTACTGTGAGTAGGTGTCAAATTGACATACCAAATGCAGAAATGACATAAGGCCCCCAAAAAATATATGTCTGTTTCCTGCCTCCAACCATTATAAAATAGGGTATATCTATATTGTATTTTATTTTTTGCATGTTAACAAAATCCAGAAAAGTTTCATGTTTTTTTAGAGTTTGAACCTGTTTTACACATACAAATCTGGTAATTTGCACATGCTTGTTGATATGTTTATAATTTTCAATGGTTTGACAAGTTTTACACTCAATATGCGTCAATCTTATTGCAAATTTGAGTGAATAATACAGAGTAAATTGGATTCATAGTCAAGGGGTACAAGTCAAATCGGCACCTGGTCAATTTGGCACCTATAGAAAAAGTCCAATCGGCATCTAGTCAAATTGGCACCTATTTAAAGTCATTTCTGCATATGATAATTCACAACTGGCAACTTATATTATATTTACTATTTTCTTTCATTTCTATTTGAAAATAGTTTTTCAGATTTTTATATATATATTTTTTGGCAAAACTTACAATTTCAGAGTTTCATTTCGTACATTGTTAAAAACTTTCTGTTTCAAGTTTTCTCAATATTCAATTAATAATGTTTTAATTGGTTATCACTTTAAAAACTTATGAACTTATGTCTACTTGTATAAAATGAATAATGTTGACACCATTCTTGTAGCCCATGTATACTAGTAATGTGAAGTTGTCATGAAATAGAGGTTCCTTTATGATATAAGTTCCAATAGGAACAGATACATTGTATTATGGCCCCATTGTTTATGACAAAGTTTCCATTGGAACTTCGGTTATGCACAACAAATATATGTTGACACCTTGAGTAAAAATATTAAATATATCATGAAAAACGGAGACTTCAATAGTTTACTTGCAAAACACAATGTTAATTGTGGATGCCGAAATAACTACCTCAGGTGCCGAATTAACCAGGTCCCTATTTGACTAAGTGCCGAATTGACTATAACAGGTGGTACCGTATCGGGTCTGTTCGCGCCCAATACATGTTCGCACCCTACACATTCGCACCCCACACGTTCGCCCCCTGGGTCCGTTCGCATCCTTTTTTTTTATTCAAAAACCTGATGAATTATTAGGTGTTTTTTAGATGTTTATATGTTTTCATAAATAAAAATTCAGGATTTTTTAAATGAAATATTGTTTTAAATTGATTTGATGATTAATTATTATATGTTATTTATGTATGACTAAGGATTTTAGAAGGCGAGTCCAGGGACTCGTCATTTTTGGCCATGGTGAGTCCAACAATAAGAAGAAGATATTTTATTGCAATATGTTTTATTATTTTAGTCTCCATGACCTAATAGAGCAATTAAATGATATTAAATTCAGATACTTTTCAAATTTTTGCTATAAAATGATATGTGTCTTCAGTTTATACAAAATTTTACAATCTTGGTGTATCTTTGGACTCACCAGTTTTGAAAATGGTGAGTCCATACAGATTTTCATGAGTCACTCATGGACTCACCTTAGTGAGAACCCTGAGTTAGAATGTATTTAGCTTGGTATGAGTAAATACAATGAAGATTCAAAATGTTATTGTTGTTGAGTTTAATAGCATTTTGGTATCTTAACATTAAAAAAATATTCAACACAAAAAACCTTTTTAGAAAGTCACCTTATTTTGAAAAAAGATTTAACCAAATGCCGAAGTGACTAGAATTCATAAGAAGGATCTCAACGCTTATTCTTGAATAATTTTTTGGAAAGGCAATAAAATATTTTAGCATTGTGATCAAACATAGGGCAGTTGGGAGGCATTTAAACAAGCATACATTTTTTTTGTGCCTTAAATAGGTGTCAATCTGACAAGATGTCGATTTGACCATGTGCCCATTAGACTTTTTCTATGGTGTTGTATCAACCAATTGGATTGAAGTGTGATAACAAAATACGCGTCTTAGAACTGGCTTACATGTACAGAAGTCAGTGGCAAATGTGTATTGCAAGCAGCATCTTTATATGATAGCAGGTGCTACAAACTGACAAAAAAATCTGTCACCAAACATATTTTCCTCAAAAGATGATAATGAGAAATGTGTTCATGCATTCTTAAAAAAATATATTGAATATGCAACATATGAGAAATATCATACCAAGACTAAAACTTCTTTGAAAAATCAAAATAAGAACATTAAAAACTGTTTTCAAACCACCATCAACGTTGCTAAGAGGAAGTGTGCGTCTGAATCAAACAGACGTTTTATTTTCCATATTTGAAACTTCCGGCAAAACACGCATGTGACGGAAATCGAACCCAAAAGAAGGAAGAGAATGCGAATGTTTTTGTTGTTTTGTTATTGTCTTTCATTTCAAATGTAGCTCTTTTTAATTTTGTGTCTAAATATTCAGTCGGATGAGAGATGGCCTTAGTAACCGTCCAAAGATCTCCAAGTCCAAGCAATACAGAATCAGTAAGTTTTTTGTTGTTGTCAGTTGATTTAAATAATAACCGTCATTTCATACTTCAAAGAGCATCTGAACATCAACAGCTTGAGACAATTTATTTATTCAACCATGACAGTATTCAAAGTTTTCCTACACTTGTATGATTTTCCAAGATCAATGTTTTCCTCTGTGAACTCAGTTCTCGGAATTCTTCTTTCTTATACAATGCCGAACTGCATCTGGTTTTCAGTTATAGAAGCTGTCATGTAAAATTGGCACCACTTTTTGAACAAAAGGTCAAATGCAATAAAAGTTAGGACAGAAGTGGTTTAATGGGAACATTTTCGGTTATTTAGTACAAAAGAGTTCATAACTGTACAAGTTGCTGTTACCCTTGTCACAGCAGAACCAGGTCTGTTCGCCCAAAATCACTTTCGCCCCTATACGCGTTCGCCCAAAATCACATTCGCTCCCATTCTTATTCGCCCAAAATCATGTTCGCTCCCATTCTTGTTCGCCTCCTTTTTGACAAGGTTTTTATGCCCCCCTACCCCCCTAACAATAGAAGAGGGGCATTATGTTTTTCGGTCTGTTTGTCCATTCGTCCATCTGTCCCGCTATAGGTTAAAGCCATCCGTGTACTATGGACACATTCTTGTTAATCATGCTTTAGTTTGGTGTATTGATATAAAATAAAGAAAATACATAATGTTTTTTTATTGTTTTAAAATAAAGAGACATTCTAAAAACGTAAACAGGTTTTCTTTTGTGAATTATTTTGACGAAATGGATAATGAATATTGTCATGATGATCAAAGACTAAGTCATTCGTCTCTAAGACTTGTCAAAGAAAGGCAGAAGATTCCAAATGGCTATCAAACTCGTCACAAGCTGTTAAAAATAATTATCTTTCAATTTTCATTTAAAATCGTCATTGTTTTTACTCCTACCAAACTAACTACTTGTAATTCACTTTACATCAAACACATAACAATAATTCCAAATTAGCTTTTTAAATACCAATTAACATAATCTTAAATAAATCAATAATTAATAATTAATCATCTAATCACAAAAATAAATATCTCATTTATAAAAAATTACTGAATTTCATTTATAAAAATATAAATATTTTGATATATACATCTGAAAAACATCTCATAATTCAACCTGTATTTGAATAAAAATAGGGTGCGAACATCCAAGGGGGCGAATGTGCGGGGTGCGAGTGCATAGGGTGTGAATGTGTTTTGGGAGCAAACAGACCCTATACCGTCAGGTCAGGGCATGTTCATCTTTCGGAAATCCAACAGACAATTGGGTACTTTATTTATATATTGATTTTTCTTCATTTTTTGCACTGAAATTCGCATACAGCATACATTTTTTGACTTATTTTGCCTTCACTCGCCAATGGCCCCTAGAATTTGGTGTGGGCTACTAAAATTTCTGCTTTTCTTGTATAGAACAATTATAATTTGGCTACAAAATTTAAACTGTGGGCTACCATGCCAAAATTTTAACTTCAATCCCTGGCATCCATTTTTTATATCAACAGAATGAGGTCGTGCGATTATCGTGGCTAGGATCGTAGTAGTATCATAGTAAGGTTGTACTAAGGATGGCAAGCGCGTAGTAGCAGCGTACTTTTGTCTTCCTCATCGTAGCTTTAACCTCCCACCAATTGACATCAGATGTTAGCTTTGTAGATAATATAGAATTTATGTACTACAACATCATGTATATTTTCAGGAAGATGTAGATACTGAAGAAGGATCTAATCTGAAATCTCCTAACAGATCCAGAAGGTACAGTTTGTTTTATTTTAATCATACAAAACTGCAGAGATTGTGTATATACATGGCGTCTGCTAAAATTATGACCTGTATGGAGAATTAAATCTGAGTTTCATAATGCAAATACATTGTTAGTTGCTCAAACGCCACAAATTAGTCTTTTAAAAATCTTCCTGAATTACATATCCAAAGGCATAAATGTTTATATTGACTAAAAAGGACCTTAAATTATGACATATAATTATTCACTGGACAGGGCATACTGTAAGTTTGGAAAAACCTTGACAAAAATGACAAAAACAATAGCTTCAATTTACCAAGCCAAATTTGTTCTAGAAATTTTAAAGGATGTTTGTCAGCTTTAATATTTTTTGAAGCAATGTCATCAACATATATACATCAGTGTTCCAGCTAGGATTTGAAAATAGAGGGGCGCGTTTTTAAAAAAGGGCACTTTAGCGCGTTCTCACTGAAAAAAATCAAATACTTAATATTACCACATAATGACATATTTTTAGCAAGCATGTAGCTAAGTTAAATACTCTATACTATCATGACTATTACATGCATTGAAAATTGTGTAGGTTTGGTTGTGAATTTAAATAAGAGTGCCAATGAGACAATTGTCTTTATTTCGATCTTGAGAAATAGATTAATTCAACAAGTAAGTTTGTTAATTCATCTTTGAAAGTTTATTATCAATTTAACAAGCATCTCCGTATATTTCATGTTGAGCGTATCTAATAATATCAATAAGTTTGTCAAAACGAATTTCAATAAGAAAATTGATACAAAAATCGGACTTTCGATAGCTCCGTAATCGGCACAATAATAAATTAATTCAACTTTGAAAGTTTATTATCAATTCAACAAGCATCTCCGTATATTTCATGTTGAGCGTACCTAATAATATCAATACTAAAGTTAGTCAAAACGGATTTCAATTTAAGAAAAATGATATAAAAATCGGACTTTCGAGTGCTCCGTAATCGGCGGAATTTACAATAGAAGAACAATGGCGATATCTGATAGAAACCTTTCTTCTTCTCGATTTTTCATAAAAGTAAAGAATTAAATTATTTTTTTACCTTTGATGGTCATTATTCTTGAAAAAAGATGTTATAGACTGGCAAGTCTTTGATATTTTCTTCTTGTCATTTTCGAGTTGGTCAATTTTTCTTTTTTTCGTCGGCATTTTGCATGTTGACGATTTACAATATACTATTGGAATGATTCTTTTTTAACGAACGTTATTTTATAAATAACAAATACAATAGAAATGGACATCGTTCACATTTATTTTATAAATTCTATTTTGCATCGTCAGGTGTTAAAAAACAATTCATTTAACTTGGATGTTTGGTACTTCCGGGCAAAGGGATTAGACAGGGTCGTAAATTTCACCTGATTAAGTAATTGACTCTAATCAAATAGGTGATTATATACAGGTAACAAGTGTCAACAATTTTGATCTGTTGTCTTAATGAAGTGTGTGTATAAAGAACTCAACAAAATGGCGACGATATGAGGAAAAAAGATCGTTTTTTTAAAACTTTTTTCAAAAGGGCACAGAGGGGCGCAGGGGCGCTTAAAAAAGGCAGAGGGGCGCAAAATTTCGGGGGCGGGGCGCGGCGCCCCTCCATTTCATGCTAGCTGGAACACTGTACATGTACATGTAGCTAGTCCAATTATTTAAAAATTGGGAAAGCCCAACTTGTATGGTGAGTCCACCCCAAGTTATGTAAAGTGCTTGCAAATATTGAGATGAATGACCTCTGTCAGTAACCACATCACCTATCAAACGTTATTTGGTATTGAGTTTCATCACTGTTAGCTTTGTTATGCTGCCAAACATTGTCATTTGGTATTAGGTTTCATCATTACTGGTTACCTGTCATCAGTTACCAGTTGTTGTTGTTATATTTTAATTTGTGGAATTTAAATACCAGTAGCCTCAAAAGTGTATTATCATATGTACATGATACACATTATATTCTTTGAAAAGATTTTTTTGAAAAAAAATAAATTGCTATTTAAAAAAAATTGTTGAAAGGTTCTGTAATTGGGTCAATATCATATTTATATATTTTGCATTGTACCATTGTATAATGACCTGTTGTAACAGTTCATTTCTGATTCTACCAAATAGAGTTTAATTTTCTATAGACAGTCAAAATTGTTTGTGTATGATGTCATTTATGTTGGTCTATCAACATTTCAGAACCTAGGAATTTGGATATAATATAATAAGTAATTGCTCTTATCCCAGTGAATCTGCATGAAATAATTTGCATTTGGCCTATGAAGCAACCAACAATTAATTAATTGTAAAACTGTTTATGTATACTTTCATATTGTATATATGATATGAATCATAATTAAATTTGTGAAAATATATATATGACTGAAAAAAATATGGGGTAAATTATTGATTTAAGTCCATCAATGTCCAAGAAAAATCAACCAAATGAGAAACTAATTCCCCCAACCCTCAAAGGGTGAAAAATTTGTCTTCAGTTCAGTTTAAATTTTGCTCATCAATATTTTAGATATAGATATTTATAATTTTTATTAAGAAGAAAATTTGTCTAGGGTTTATCATTGACAATATGTACATGTAAACATTGAAAACTTGTCATATCAAGTTCTCAGTTAATAAGCCGAATTAAATTTAACTGCATATGTTTGACTCACAAAATAGTAAATCATAGATTTTATCTATTATATGTTAAAACTCATCTACATGTATGTACTATATTTGTGTATTGGCTTATAAATTTTAAAATGAAAGATACTTGAAGGGATTATGTATTTACTATCTATACTATTATCACTGGTAGACTGTATGTTAAAGTTAAGGGAGACAACTTGCTTGTTTTATGATAGGTGTCTTTGATGATTTTAATTTACTTTTATGGAGATATAGTATACTATTGCAGTCTGCACCAAAATCTTTTCCAACTTCTAGTCCAAAGACCAATATTCCAACATTTTCTTATGTGACTAAACAAATTTATGCAAATACATACTAGTCTGGGCCATCGTACTATTAGCGAACGGTGCAGACTGATATTGTAGCTTAAGTATACTATCATAGCTTTATAATGTGACCTACCGAATTAGACTTATCACCTTTTGTACTAACATGAGCAACAAGATGGGTGCCACATATGCAGCTGGATCTGCTTACCCTTCCGGAGCACCTGAGATCACTCCCAGTTTTTGGTGGGTTTCGTGTTACTTACATGTAGTCTTTGGTTTTCTATGTTGTGTTTTGTGTACTGCTGTTTGTCTGTGGGTCTTTTCTTTTTATGCCCTACCTAAGGGCATTATGTTTTTCGGTCTGTGCATCCATTCGTTTGTCTGTTTGTTCGTCCATCCGTCTGTCCTGCTTCAGGTTTAAATTTTTTGATGAAGTTGAAGTCCAATCAACTTGAAACTTAGTACACATGTTCCCTATGATATGATATGATCTCTCTAATTTTAATGCCAAATTAGAGTTTTGACCCCAATTTCATGGTCCACTGAACATAGAAAATGATAGCGCCAGTGGGGCATCCGTGTACTATGGACACATTCTTGTTTAGCCATGGTTAGTTTATTTTTGACTGATGAGTTTGAATGTCCCTTTGGTATCTTTCGCCTCTCTTTTATAAATGTTTCAAAAGTAATATGACATTTGTGTCATGTTAGGCATCTAAGCAGGTTCCAAACTGCTATGTATACATGTATATATTGACGTACAGAATGCAAAACCATATTTAAAAAGAGGTAGAAGACACCACAGGGACAATAAAAATCAAGTTGAATAAAATAGACAATACCATGGCAAAATACAAAAACAACAAAAAGACTAACAACATTTCATGTTTAAATTGTAATTACTCATAATTTACCTATAACACGGAATATGCAAGCTACATGTGATTAAGTTTAATTTTACTTGCATTTGCTTATTTATTTGTCATTTGGCAATGATATATCATGACATACAAATGACTGAATGTAAGTTGATAGAATTTCATTATACCCAAGGACAGTTTGAATTAAAATTTCCTTAGGACATGTCCATTCTGTTTGTATAAATGATTATCATGATTTAGTCATTTTAAAATTTATTTTATTGTTCATTGTGCAGATGTTCATTTGAGGTTAATTTCAAGCAAGAGTGATTCAAATAAACGTGGTATTTTTAATTAGACTATTAGTGTTATATAATTACTTGCTTTGAAGTGCCCATAGTCAACAAAGTGAATTCTCATATGATATAAACTAAAAAATGATTTAGGTAAAATTAAAGGAAAACTTATTAAAACCTGTAAAACCATTATTCTTAATAATTTTGGAAAGTCAGTTTTTAAAATTTTTATCTGAATAGATTTTATTATTTTGATTTTTTTTTTTTTGACAAATCCATGCTGGGAACTTATTACATGAATTGATAAACTTTGTCCATTCCTTTCCATTAATAAAAGAAAAGAAACATTTTAGTGCTATAATCTGCAGATTTCACAGGCAAGTTAAAAAGTAACATAAATACACCTTAATTTGGCACGTGCAAAATATGTGTTTATTATGATAAGATGATTTTGAAGACATCCTAATTAGAACTACATTTGTTTTGGTCCCTTGATTTGCTCTGTTTGGTAGGTTGCTGTCCCCTTTGCTCGTGTATCAAAATATAATTCTGTAGAATTATGTATCTTGTGACCATATTTATTTGTTTATGCTTATGATTGATGTTTACCCTGGGCAACCAGTTTTCCTTATCAGTAAAGCTTACTGTCCTGATTTGATCAAATGTATAAAAAGAAATTGGTGTCAACGAAAAAATTGTGCACAGAGTCCTGTTAACCCTTAGAAACAAGGAAAAAAAAACAATCCATTCTCTCATTTCATTGTGGAAAAAAAAACCCACAAAAGTATGACACAATTTAGAAATAAGTTAAGAAATGTTTTGATCTGTACTTCAAATAAATATTGGGTGTTTTTCTTATATACCTCACTGCATCACAATGAATGAAATAAAATTTCTAGTGTAGTAGTGTTTAAATCCCCAGCTTTAAAACCATGTGTTTACATCATAGAACAGTAATTGAATGCATAATATTACAACCTTTGTATTGATTGTGTTCATACCTTCTGTCACAATATTTGATTAAATTTTTTTATCAGATTTTGTGACTTGTTGCTGAGGGATTAAGGGAAACGGTATATAATGTTCCATTTCAATAGCCTACTTATGAATCTATGAAATAAAATAGTGCTATGGATCTCAGAATTATGTTGTTGTTATAAAACAATGGATTGTTTTGTATTGATGACGGATGTTTAGTCACTGATCTATGTAGTTGTTTGAGAAATAATCTTAAAAAATTTTGTTTCGAAATGACATATATTTTTCTTCATTTACTGACTTAGAGAACAAAGAAACAGTTGGTGTTCTTTAAGGCTTAATTTCCTGTTCCATTGTAGTATATCAAAGGGTTGGTAACCTTTTACCCTTCCAGAGCACCTGATATGAAAATAAAATGTGGTATGATTGCCAATGAGACAGCTTTCCGCCAGAGACCAAATGATGTAAGATGTCAATAATAGGTCATCGTACGGCCTTCAACAATTAACAAAACCATATAGTATATCAAGCTATAAAAGGCCCGGACATGACAAAATGTAAAACAATACAAAATACAAAACTAACGGCTTTTTAATGTACAAAACTATGAACAAAAAACAAATAAAATATACAGCAACATACAACAACCACTGAATTACAGGCTGCTGACTTGGGACAGTCACATACAGAATGTAGCAGGTTAAACCTGTTTGTTGAACCCCAACCCTCCCCTGACCCTGGACATTGATGATATGGAAGTGTTTAACGACCTTGACTGGCTATACAGCATAACATAAGAACAAATTGCAAAATTAAGTTGAAAGGGCTTAACTCCTCAGATATATACAAAGGAGAAAAAACAAAAAGACTAAAGATTCATAGTAACATTCTGAGTTGCTGAAAGAGAATTTAAAGCCAATAACAACTAATAAAACATCCATGTATCCAAAACAAATTATCAATCAGTACACATCCAATGGGCTAAAGACGTGAAATTAGTCTTGAAAAAATCACGATCCTGTACAATGCCAAGTATGAACAGGATGTAGGACTGTATGTGTTTAGTTAATTAATTGTATAACAATACATATTTAGCTAGGTTTTAATTTATTGAAACAATTACCACTGATAAATTAAACAAATTCAAAGAACTGAGTTCACCAACATTTTTCTGCAGAGTCCTGGTTTCTCAGGTGTTAGTTTTCTGTGTCGTGTGTTGTTGACCATTTTGTCTTTTCATCTTTTTTTTTTTTTTTTTACAAAATCAACTTCATTAACTTGTTCTCATTCTGATTATGCATGAAATATTTGCCACAGGACATTAAGCAAACACAAATCAACGATGAAGTGCACAAATATGTAGAAAATTTGTAGTTTAAAAAGAAACCATTAAAAGCTATAGAGATTAAATCCTGCAGATCTTATTTTAGATGTTTACATGCATAAAAGGCATGCATTATTTAATCTTATCTTTAAATGTTTTTTAAAGCTTTTAAAATATTTGAACTAAGTGCAAGATAAAAACAAAATTTAACAAATCTATAAAATTTAATTCAACATGAACGAGTTTCTTATTACAAGTTATTAAAACGATTCTTTATAAAGTTATGGTTGACAGTCCCGTCATTTTTTGGATTTTTTTACCATTATCAATATTTCCATAATGTATATTGAATTAAATGCCTACTAATTGTGAGATTTGTTAAAGTGCCAGGTATCAGTATCTATTGCAATGTATTGGTTGGGATTATGAAAGTAGAATTAGTATTCAGATTCAGTGGATGATGGAAGAATGTAAAGTTTACGTTTTAATTTATTCATAAATGTCAGAATTTTTATTACCTGTATAATAATTTGAAATTGTGAACATTTATTATTGTAAAATTATGTTGTTACAAGTATATACTGGTACGATTTTAAATTGAAGTATAAATTGTTAGTGTAACATGGATATTTGGAGTATATTAGAAAATGGTCTGTGTGACTAGTAATTATTATTTGAAAGAGATATATGATTAACTCATTAAATCTTACAAATAAGACACATTGGAAGAGCGTATTTATTTGTGTGCATTTAAATTTTCAATGTTTCGAAGTGGATTACAGCCTTACGCAGGAATACACTATTCTGTCTCTTGGTCTTGCATGTAAAGGACAAAAATCAATGATGCACCAAACTTTTGGAATATAAATACCAGGAATATTTTGAAGTGTAAAAACAGGAACTATGTTGATCATGAGCGATGGATACAACAACAATGTGAAGTCTGTGTACTTTATTCATTTAGAAAACACTGATAGGTAAGGAAAGTTTAAAGTACATGTATGTTTGGGATAAAAGGGGGTTTCCTGTAAAACATTCTTATTGATTTTGCAGCTAGATATTGATAATGTCCCATTAAAAACAAAACAATTATCTTGTTTGAATAGTTACATGGCAGAATTCACTGCAAAAAGATAATTGTACATTATTAATTTTAGATTTCGAGTTGTTGAATATATGTTTGAGACTAAGGGAAATAAGGAAGAATTAAGTTGAGAATTAAAGAGACATGAACTTATTTCTGACATAGTTTGTTTCGATCAAACTTGATGAATCATCATGTGGGCCAGATCATCAACATATATGTTTGTCCTCTCCCCCTTCCCCCTCCTTTCTCCGTCAGTGTTGATTCTTATCATTTATATTTAATTTATTAATCTGGAATTTTTATAATTTTATGAAGTTGGAGAAAGTGGGGCAATTGATACATATCTGTCTGTGGCCTGGTTGTATTGTTAGGTAGGAAACATTTGAATCCTTAAAAAAATATTGAACTGATTTTGAACCTTTCAAAGCTTCTTTATGTTTGAAAATAAAAGAAAGCTTTTCTAAAATTGAAAAATATAGACCTAATGGAACTTTCTTTACTAGTTTATCAGGATTTGATTAATGGTAATCAGACAGAAAAAACCTGGACATTCAGCATATGTCTATATATTATAAAAATTTATCAGATTTCGTGTTTCAGTATATTTTTTTTTAGGAAGTTTAAAAATATGTTTACATATATATTTTAGTCCTAATGTACAATGATTACAAAGTAGTTGATATAATTACATGAGATATCAATCAGAGAATAGTACATTACCTATGTAACATACCTTTAATTACCTGTAATAATATGACCTAATCGTTGATCTTATATTGTTTTATACCATAACAGAACACTAGATATGATTTATATTTCTTTTATATAACCATCTAAATACATGTATGTCTGTTATCTGAATTTTAACACTGGTATCCCTTAAAAGTGCAGCTGCATGTTTAAACAAAGAAATCCAATTTGTTTCATTATTTATATTAATTGTTTGATTCATATGATATTTGTGTATATATATATATATATTAGATCCATTTTGTTACATCTGGTGATCCTTTTATTTGGCAATCGCCAATGGCAGTCAGCAGGGTTTAAGAACATCCGTTGTTCGACCTGCTAGTCAAATGCGTTTTGTTAAAATATACTTTTTCACTTTTTTGGTCTTTTGGAAAATGTTGTGTGTGCTGTATTTAGACTCCTCTACCAAGAAATTTATTTTGCATGCACACATATAAAAATTGCAGTTTTTATCCAATGCAATCATAGGTTTGAACGTTGTTTTCAATTTAGACTTGTTTATATATATAAACGCCTAAAAAGTGTACAAAACAACACCAATATTAAAAAAAGGAAGCACTAAATGTATTTATCTATAAATATTTCGGATAACAGATATCCTTCATCAGTATGATTAGGATATAAAATGTATTCTATCAATCTATTCTGATTTAACCATAACAATCTTGAAATTTATACAATTAAAACCAAACACAAAAACGCTTGTACAATTCTAAAATTTCAAAAATGATGTAGGTTATATAGGTATTTACAACAGAGACTGCATAGATACGCTTCTAATAAAAATAGTAATGGTTGATATGAACTGGTACATTTCTAAAATTTAAAAGGTGACGACAGTTAAGATGTTACAACAAAGACTGTGTGGAAATACATTCCAAATGAACAGCACTGACTGATCTATGCTGGTATAATATTCCAAATTTGACAACGGTAAAGTAATAATAACAGAGGCTGCATATTTAAACATCCCAAATAAATAGTTTGATAATGAAAAAAAAAATTAATAATTTCGACAAAGGTTAAGTAATTGAACGTGGCTGCGTACTTATACATCCCAAATGAATAGAACCCTGCGATTAAAACTGGTATAATTCAAGAATTTTAGAAAATTGACAAAGGTAAAAGAATAGCAAGAGACTGCATAGTAATATGTAACCCAAATGAAAAGCACTGCGCGAATTAGAACTACACCTATTCATTGATCCCATTTGGTGCCAAAGTTTTTAATTTTCTTATCCAAAATCTTTCCAGAGTCAGTCTATCCTCCCTATGCCAATCAGTGTTGTGGTCTATGATTGTAATGGTCAGTCGATTGAGATCTGCCTTAGTATGGCCAGGGGATCTCAAATGTCGACTGAGAGGAAGGTCTTGCTTGCATTTAAATATATATATGTGCCTAGTAAATGTAGGTGTAGTGACAAATGCAGATTATACCTATACTGTATAATTGGAAATTTTCCTGAGAGGTTTATTTTCACTTATTTAGATAAAAGATAAAATTGCAAAAATATCCTCCTTAATAAATTTTATCATTAAGGCAGATCATAACCAATAACAAGAAAATCGTGAAAATAAAACCTCACAAAAAAGTTTGGCCTGACAATCTTGAAATTTTAATTCTGCATAGAAATAAACCACCTTCTTTCAGTCCATTTTCTATTGGATTTCTGATAAAATTCCAGAGTCCTTAAGTATTAGAAAAGCAGTCAAACATGGTAATGTTTTTATTTTTGTATTTTACTGTTTGAAAGCAATGTTGAGACTTTCTCTCTTTATAACCTATAGAAATTGTTTTGACAAATAAATGATTTATAAACATGCTAAAAGTGTTCTCATGACAAAGATACAATAATATAATAAATCAGTCACTCTTAAAAAGATGATTTTAATGCAATCGGCTTGAAATATAACATCGTAATAACACATAAAGTGAACATCAATTGAATATTAATACATAATTTTATGTATTATTATTCCCATTCCAGCTGATTGAAAGCTGACAACGGAATGTCAATATTTTGGTTGGTAGAGTCACATGTCATTGTCCTTTTCAAAATAAGTAAATTATATAAAAATAAACAGGTATTAAAAACGTACTATAGAAAACAATGTCTGTTATCTTGTGCTTTAGCAGTCCACAGACATCTATTATTCAATACTAAAATTATGATTGAAAGTAATTTTACAAATGTTAATCTTTATGTACAGTCAAAAAGACCAAATATGAAAACATGTATAAACAGAATTCCAACAGAATAGAGAACAAATTTCAGACTGACTAGAAAACAGAGTTCAGACCGAATAGAGAACTAATTTTCATACTGAATAAAGAACAGAATTCAGACAGAATAGAGAACAATTTTCAGACTGAATAGGGAACAGAATTCAGACAAAATAGAGAACAAATTTCAGATGAACTAGGGAACAGGATTCAAACAAAAATAGAGAAAAATTTCAGACTGAATAGAGAACAGAATTCAGACAGAAGAGAGAACAAATTTCAGATGGACAAGGGAACAGGATTCAGACAAAATAGAGAACACATTTCAGACTCAATAGAGAACAGAATTCAGACAAAAATAGAGAACAAATTTCAGATGGACTAGGGAACAGGATTCAGACAAAATTGAGAACAAATTTCAGACTTACTAGATAACAGAGTTTAGACAAAATAGAGAACAAAGTCTGAAAACAGAGTTTAGAAAAAATAGAGAACAAAGTTCAGACTGACTCGAAAACAGAGTTTAGACAAAATAGAAAACAAAGGAGTAGGGGCAATAAGGCCCTTTTTTGGCCCAAATATTACTGCAAATTTAAAAGTTATCATACATATTCTTAAATTTGTCCTAACTAGACTAAGGTACAAGGTTTTCAGGAAATAAAAAACAAATTTCACATTAAACGAGCTACCATGGCAACAAACCATGACGAAATTTGTATATTTTGTAAAATTTCTTGAATTTCCTTGCTTTTCATAAAATTCTAAGTATAATTTAGATTGGCAAAGTATGTGCGCACCCAAGAAACAACTTTATATTTGGTGAGATTATGTCAATAGTTATAATAAAGCTTCTCTTAAATTATTTTGTTGTTTCTTGGCTGCGCACAATGTTTCCGTAATGGAAATAACAATGAAAAATTGCACAAATTCTGTATTTTTCATCGTTTTCATGAAACGGTACATATAATGACGTAATTGTGACGTCATCAGATAAACAATCTTATGTTTTTCATTTGTATTTCTTCACTCTATGCATTCCCAAATATTTTTTGCCAATTTAAAATAGTTGTCAAACATCTTATTTTCTTGGGCCAAAACCGGGCCTTCATGCCCCTACTCCTTTCAGACAGACTAGGAAACAGGATTCAGACTAGTGTTGTACAAAAGATACATTTAGTAACTTATAAACTTATTTTTCTAGTTTTAAATTTTTTTGCATTTGTCAATTTGGGGGCTTTTATAGATTGTTATGCAGTATGGGTTTTGCTCATTGTTGAAGGTTGTACAGTGACCTATAGTTCACTCAGACTTCTATGTCATTGGTCTTTGGTTGAGAGTTGTCTCATTGGCAATCTTACCGCATTGTCTTTTTATGCCCCATTTATTATGCATTATGTTTTTTGGTCTGTGCGTCGGTCTGTTCGTCCGTCCGTCTGTCCATCTGTCCCGTTTTAGGTTAAAGTTTTTGTTCAAGGTAGTTTTTGATGAAGTTGAAGTCCAATCAAATTGAAACTTAGTACAAATGTTCCCTATGATATGATCTTTCTAATTTTAATGGCAAATTAGAGTTTTGACTCCAATTTCATGGTCCACTCAACATAGAAAATGATAGTGCGAGTGGGGCATCCGTGTACTATAGACACATTCTTGTTTTTATTGTCATTCATATGTGTTTTCTTTTTTTGTGAATTGCTTTAAATTATTGCAAATTTGCAATTCAGAAGTGATATGAACTGTATAATATAAGTTACATTCACACAGCTACTGAAATCACTAAACTTTAATTCGCCATATGACAAAAAAAAAAAAAAATTCTGTTATAATATATGTAATGACCTTTAAATTGATTGTCAGACATCTGGAAATCTGAAAGGGGACTCATACTTTAAAAGAGATTTCCTACCAGGACATGTTAGTCAGGTTAACATCAATTTTAATGTGATCAATCAAATATTACTTTTAACATCCATTAAAGGTACTTAAAGTCTAAAACATTTAAATTAGTTGTGTAAATTTTATTAAGGCTGCCCTACTAGATATTGATATTTTTTATATAGAAATGAGCACTCTAACGGAAGTTTTATTGTATACAACTTATTTTCTTAATTTCAACCATTTTAAATTAAAAAAGGTAGATGTGACATACAAGGAAAAGGGGGTAGCAACCCAATGATACAACAAAACCAAACCTCATGAGGTCCTTATAATTTCTTAAGAAAATTTCAAGTGCTGAGGCCATTTGTCAAATTATTAATTGCCTAGAAATCATTAAAATTTATTTTTTAAAGATTTATCAAGGATTTTTTTGTTTGCATCAGTCATTTTAGAATACCTTCTGCAATCCTCTGAATTAGTTAACTTTGTCAGTATAATATTTGAACACTTATAACTTCAGGCAATCAAACTTTTTAGAAATGTTCAGGGATTCCCAAATTTTACTTCAGCCGACTTGGCACCAGTGATGGTGCATGGTTTATTAGGGTAACAGACAGAAGCATTAGATTTGAAAGAAGTACTTTTGTACTGATAGATTACAAAGCAATATATTTCAAAAATAGGTAAAGCAACCTAACAACAAACAGTAACCAACAATGAATTCAAAACATCATTCTATGCATTTTATGTTTGTTTACATTTAAAAACATAAACATTTCGTATTATGTACCTGTACTTATTTTAATTGTAAAAGCTTTTGAAATGTAGCTTATCAATTAATGTATAAGGGATATATTTATTATTATGAAACTTGGCTTATTTATAGGCACTAGTCCAGAAGATAAATGTTTTATTTATATAAAAGCCATGCAGTTCTTTATACTTTTGTTTTAAATTGATAGATTTTCATTAGAATGATATGTTTCAAGGAATTTAACCTGTATGTCATCATGGTCATAGGACATTAAACAATCTTATGTCATACAAGGAAGGGAAGTCATCTCATGAATAAATGGCCATTAAATTGCAGTGAATTCAACTTTCACTTTATAATACATTACTCCTGACAACACTGAGATTACTCCATAGGAGTATGATTATAAGGCATTTTATGGATCCATTGTGAAATTGAACTTCTCAAATCTTCATAAAGTTGTTGATGACTTAAGCCTGTAATTCAGTTGTTGTCGTTTGTTGCTGTATATCATATTTGTATTTTGTTCATAGTTTTTACATAAATCAGGCCGTTAGTTTTCTCTTTTAATTGTTTTACATTTGTCATTAAGGTGCCTTTTATAGCTGACTATGAGGTATTGGTTTTGCTCATTGTTAAAGGCTGTACAGTGACCAGCTATAGTTGTTAACTTATATGTCATTTGGTCTCTGGTGGAGAGTTGTCTCATTGGCAATCATACCACATCTACATCATTTGGTCTCTGATGGAGAGTTGTCTCATGGCAACTATACCACATCTTCTTATTTTTATATTGACATCTTGTAACCTAATTATGAAACTGTTATGATGCTTATTTGATCTATTTACCCATTTTGAGTGATCTATAACACTATTGATGTGTAAAGCCACCTCCCTGATATTTATTGACTAATTATCATTTCTTTTGTTTACTCTACCATTACCTTGTGTAGATACCAACATCAAAATAAAGTTTAAACATCAAAAAGTCATAAAAGTTCACTTTAACATTAAGATTAAATATATTGTTTGTCCTTGAGAGAAGCGCCCAACATTGTTTTATGTAAAGTTATTATGTCAGTCATTCACATTCTTTATTTTAACCACCCCACTTTTATATGTGAAAAAAACATGGTCTTTTCACTACTTGTAACAGATGTTTACATGTTCAGAACAGAAACCAAGGCTTGAATGAATTTAGAGATTTGGAAGGACACCTGACTTTAACAGGACATTAGTCAGATAATATCTAAATAAACAAAAAAAAGTTTACTAGTTTGGACTAATTTTTACCAGACTTGTCAAATAAATCCTTGGAGTCTCTGTAAATTTCATTTCAGTTACTGAAACTTCTCTGTAATAACTTTCCAGTCTCTTCTGCAGTTCATCAAATAGCATACATACTTGCAGCTTGGTAAACAATAGATGTTAAATTGACAAAATTAGAAATTATAGCATCTTAAACTCCTTACAGAAAAGGCTCACTCATTCATTCAGCATAAATAATGAGCCAATTATCTTTAATAGGTAATAAACTTAGGAGAGCACCTAATTAAGTGTTACTTGACTTTTACCATATCAATGTGAAGAAAACACAATAATCTATATTTCTTTATTGAATTTGAGATACTAACAATTGAACTTGAGATACGAACAATTGAACTTGAGATACGAACAATTGAACTTGAGATACGAACAATTGAACCTGAGATACTAACAATTGAACTTGAGATACGAACAATTGAACCTGAGATACGAACAATTGAACCTGAGATACTAACAATTGAACTTGAGATACGAACAATTGAACTTGAGATACGAACAATTGAACTTGAGATACAAACAATTGAACTTGAGATACGAACAATTGAACCTGAGATACGAACAATTGAACCTGAGATACTAACAATTGAACTTGAGATACGAACAATTGAACTTGAGATACGAACAATTGAACTTGAGATACTAACAATTGAACTTGAGATACGAACAATTGAACCTGAGATACTAACAATTGAACTTGAGATACTAACAATTGAACTTGAGATACTAACACAGTCTTCTTAGATATTTGTCTTTGATTCAAATCCACTTTACACATTGACATGCATAACGTATAAATTAGTAGAAGGTAACACAAGCATCATGTGCATCATTTTCATTGAAATATCTGATTTTGCACTATACTTCTTTTAACTTTCTTTAGAAATAGAATTTTAAGCTGTATTGTGGTATTATGGGATGGTAGTAAAAGCTTGATTCATACTGTCATGTTTCTATAAGCTAGTAGATGCTGGTTAGTGGAGGGAAAATGATGCTAAAAAGGTAGCATAGATATGGATGAAAGGTGATATGGGCAAGGGCTAAAAAGTAGCATTGCTGCATAGCTATGAATAAAAGGTGATGTGGGTAAGGGCTAAAATGAAGCAACGCTACAAAGCTATGAATGAAAGGTGATGTGGGCAAGGGCTAAAAAGTAGCAAAGCTGCATAGCTATGAATGAAAAGTGATGTGGGCAAGGGCTAAAATTAAGCAACGCTACATAGCTATGAATGAAAGGTGATGTGGACAAGGGATAAAAAGTAGCATAAATAAGAATGAAAGGTGATAAATTGGGCAAGCAAGTGCATGAAAAATTAATAAACATGCAGTGATAAGATTGAATAGCCTTTTATTGAAGGAGATGAAAATTTTTTGAGCAAGATGCAATTTAAACAAAAAATACGGAGGTTTCAATTTTTCCATATATACTTAACAATTGCTCAAAAAATATATTCTGATTTAGCTATTTCTAGTGACATTCTATTTGAATTTTTCAGATTTTGTTCTAATGGTCTGCCTTAAAACATTATTTTCTGGACCTTCATTAGTGTTTAAATCATTATGAAATTATGTTATTATAGATGATTTTGTGGGATTTCCAATCCAATTAACTTCACAGGGACTAAAAATGACGATTAAAAATCCCTAGATGTCAATGCAGGATATATATACTTATTAAAAAAATTATGCCGTTTATGGTGAAGCTTTAGTAGAGCTAAGATATATAGATAAATAACTTTTATTTTAGGATAACAACTTTTTGGAATACTTCTGATTGATATTTATCATACAGATTACTGTATATCAGGAACTTTTTGCATTTTTTTGGCGGAAGACACTTTACCATGCAATTTACCCTATCTGAACATTCCACTTTCCATTTAAATGCTACATACAAGAAGATAAAATGAGGGAAATGAACACATGGAAGATTTGACAGTCCCATCTGAGGCCCAAACAGCTAACAAATTTGAAAATAATCTGATATACAGTATTTGGTTTCAAATGTGCCAATCAACTGAATACAGTTGATAAATTTATTTGTGCCATTCATTTCAGGAGATCCAAGTCAGCACTAAAAAGATTGAAAAAGCTGTTCCATACAGTTAGATTTATTTCTAAATTGCGACCTTGGTGAGAATTGGCATGGCCTTCTGTGCTGTCTGCTTGCTATCTATTATTATATATATATGTGTAGATGCCATTAGCGCTAACATTTCTAACTATTCTACAGATCTTACTTTACCTCTATAAGGAAAATGTAACTGCTGATGTAATTTAACAACATTTGAAAATATACAGCGATTTTGTTTCTAGTACAAATTTATCAACAGTTATTGTATGAACATTTATATTTTACTTTTGGTACATATTTTTCAACAGGTATCGATGTATCTCCACTGATATGTTAGCCATTATCACGTACACCAAGTTTTTATAACTAAGCATTTTTAGAGCATTGCATAATTGCCTGCATGCTTTAGTATTTAATACTGACATTTTGTGACACAGTTGCATTGTCAACTTTATTTCATTATTATTTGGTATGTTGGGTCTTTGTTAGTTGCAGATAATTTGTACAGTCATTTCAATTAGGCGTTTTAGGAAAGACATGCAGAAGTTTCTATGCACTTTTGCAGATACAAGTATCTATTAGTTTTGATATGGAGGTATAAACAGACAGCCTATCGACAGGTAACCAGTCTATAAAAAGGTCAGACAGCCTCTCGATCAGGTAAAAAGTCTGGTCAAAAGGTTGTCAGTACAAATGATGTTTATGATACTTTTTGTTGGTATCTTATTTGGCAATCTTACCCCATCTCCTTATTTATGCTTATGAGTAGACTAAGGTATAAAATAACTTGAGTTAATGCGTCTTGTACTTCAGGTAGTATTTTTTGTGTGAACAAAAAGGGTAGATTATTAAACGAATTCAATTTTGAAAACTTCTTATCAAAGGATATTGTAGATAATTAAAAAGAATGAGATTTTAAAATTTTCAATTAAAAGTATATGTGCATTTATCAATTCAGCTTTTGCGGGAATTAATGCATACTTGGAAACTAATATTCACTGAGTGTATTATCTTGGAATATTGTATTAGTATTGAGGAAGTTTATATATTTGTCTATAAATTACAATATATGATGGATAGGTCCATTAGCCTATTACAGGAAATTAAATAATATGATGAATGTCTCACTCTCCAGCTGAATTAGATGTGACCCTTTAACCCATACCCATTTTATACAGCATACAAAGTTTATTTTCAAAGATAAATGTGATTTTTCTCTGCTCCTTTCTGTATCTTTTTAGTCAAAATGTTAACTTTATTTGTCATCAACACGCTTCCATACATTTACCATGTTTTATACTTGAAATAAGGCTGAGAGGATCTTTAAAGTTTAATTTAGTTATGTAGAATATTTTGTTTTTAGCATGAGAGCAATTAATGCATAAAATGTATCTTTGGTAAAATTTTTCATGAAGATTTGATTTTTAAAATGTTACACGATTTCATTGTTCCAATCAAATTACTATTTATAAGTATGTTGGTAGAAGCTCTTGAACTTGAAGCATCACAAATCCCCTTAATGTCTAAGACCAATGCATTTTTATCTAATCATTGCAGTTTAGCTGCACATAATTTGGAAAAAAATGCATATATCTAGTCAGTTACACATTAAGCAGCGGCTCAAAACATTTAAGATAAAGTTACGTTGGGCCTCAAGTTTTCCAAAATTCTTTAAAGAATATTGATAAGTCATTTATCTAATCTTCAGACAAAAATATTGATTAAATTACATAATGACTCACCCTTAGTATAGTATATTGTGTACACAGAATTAAAGACTTGTGAAATTTATGATCAGTTTTGTTATTGATATTTATGCATGTCAGTTCTAGTAACTCTTATTCCCACGAAATTGAATGCTTGTCTTGGAATTTGTAATATTATCTGGAACATCTAGCAAAGTTTTGGCATTTAATTAATTTCGGTCACTAAACATGCTAAAGTCCAATCCTAAGTACATATAATCTTGTGTTTCTATGCATCACATGTAAAGACAACATTAAGAGATATACAGAACACTATTTGACTATAATTGCTAAGAAACCATTGATTAGTTTAATCATACTGACAAGATTTAACTAGAGTCATCTGACAGTAAGTGTTAACAATAAAAGCATGCAGAAGCAATTGATGCTTAAGCATACTATTCTGTTTTTCATTTCAATACAGATAAGATATTTATTTCCAATTATGGGCCCCAAAGGGCATAAACATTACAACATCAATAATTTTTCATAATACAATACAAACATTGAGATAAAAAAAAAAAAAAGTTTCACGAGAACTATTTAAGTTCTTAAAGAATACGTAGATAAAGAATCTATAGTATGTTTTTTTTAATACTAATGCATTTTATTGCAAGTGTGGTTGATATAGATAACAAACAAGCAGCCCAAAAAGAAAAAAAGAAAATAGATATCCATATATGTATAGTACACAAAAAGTTGGATCAATTAAACATATAATAATTAGCCAAAAAGAAAGTAGAAATTAAGCATGTCCATGACTCATCCTGTGTCAGCAGCAAATAGGAAAGTATTATGGTTTCCTAGAGGCAGCTGACACCAGGGGGCAATACCTTATGGGCCATAGTTAACATTAATACATGTTAAAACTATATTAAAAGATAAACATGATACTATTTGACTATTATACAAAGGCAAGACTACCCCCTTTCATGTATGTCTATGGTTATTCCGTCAATAAGAGGGGTTCAAAAGAAAGTCTTTCCAAATACAGAAAATTTAAAGCTATCTTAAGTAGGATCTATAACACAATTTAGAAGAATACTGTCCAAGCATGATGAACTTATGAAGATACGCAGCTGTAGAAAGTAGTTTGAAATTTCTTACAAATGATTGTAGGTAGGAACAATAGTAGAAAAGGCATGAAATGTAAGATTAGAGACTACTTGAGTTGTTATAAAGTATATAGTATGCATGTCTTTTGTTTTGTCCCAAATTTTGATCATGTAATCATATCATATGCATGAACTATTTTAAAGTGATAATATGCACCAAACCCTCATTTGAAGGGATGATCCTTACTCCTTAAAACCATTGTGGCAAACAGTGCCCTCCATAATACTAGATTTATAGTAGAGAAACTTTTATTTTTAGTTGAAGATTTCTTATCAAAGATTTAACAACGACAATGTTATTTTTACATGTATCCTTGAAAATCATTATAATTACCAGTGCCCATGTTATTATCAATTTCCTGCTACATGTATTTAATGTCCTTAATGATTCACTCCATGAACTTTTATGAATAGGTTATTTGTTTCAATAGATCAATAGTTTTTTGCCAACAGACTTTCTTTTTTTAAAAAGACAGAAAATAAAAATGTTTGTATTTTCAAAGTTGGACTTGGTCAGGAGAAAAATATATGTTTCATATAAAGCTTTGTGGAATACAGCCAATATTTTTATAATTAATGATTTTTATGGATGAGGTTATTGCAAGCAACATTATTTTAATTTTGTTAAAATTTATTTCCTTATATTACTTATGATAAAGTCCAGCATTGATCAATATTTCATCAAATGCCAGACTGCTAAGGTTTGACATTATTTTTTGTGGAATGTACCTGTAAATGGCCTTGAAATATACAAAACCTTCATGGTCTATGTGATGTTACTTAGCATTTCCATGTAAATTTAACATAAATTACAAGGTTGCCAGAATTAACCTTAACCTTAAGAATGAATACTAAGTGAATTTAAAAAAACCTCACAAGATGCACAAGTACAAGGCTAGAAGGAATTATACATATTGCATCAGTTATATGCTCATAATGCTTACAAAGCTTAAGCTTTACAGGTATGCAGCTTTGGGAACCAGAATACATCCATAATGAACAAGAAACTACAATCTTTTGATTGATTACCCTCTTATCTTCTTAGTTTTTGACTTGCCTGTGACTTTAGTTAGTAAGCAAGACTTGGACATGCTGTTTACAGCCTGTGACTTTAGTTAGTAAGCAAGACTTGGACATGCTGTTTACAGCCTGTGACTTTAGTTAGTAAGCAAGACTTGGACATGCTGTTTACAGCCTGTGACTTTAGTTAGTAAGCAAGACTTGGACATGCTGTTTACAGCCTGTGACTTTAGTTAGTAAGCAAGACTTAGACATGCTGTTTACAGCCTGTGACTTTAGTTAGTAAGCAAGACTTAGACATGCTGTTTACAGCCTGTGACTTTAGTTAGTAAGCAAGACTTAGACATGCTGTTTACAGCATCAACAATTGTTAAAGTTTATGACTATGGTCACACACAAAAAGACACAATAAAGACATATATATCTGAGTTATTTAATTATGAATAATTATACAAATGCTGATTTTAAAACATTTGAACATGAAGAAATTTGTAATGTAGCATAGAAAATGCTATGAACACTTGGAATAAGGGAGAAAAGATATTCAGAAATAGGCTAATTCCTGGGTACATTTTCATTTTACTGTGAAGTGCACTAGGGGATAGCTAAGATCTTTCTCAAGAAATTTGTCATATCACAGAAATGGAGAAGTTATTTTTTTTCCTGCTGAGATATGAAGAGGTTTAGGTCTACGACCTGTACATAGATATTTCTTAAATGGTTTCTAGTAAAATATATATCTAGGGTTTTGTGAAGAACTAACATGCCAATCAGTTTTTATAGAAATGTAAAAACAAATAGAATAACTTGTCAAGATGATTAATAAGGTTTTAAATATAGTAAATTATTTATGTCTGACCCCAAGGCTTGATTGAAACCTTATGCAAATTGTTTTTTTCATGTCTGTACCAATATGCTTTGATAGGCACAAAGGCATGTAGACAATGTTATAAGAATTTTGCATGTCCACCATGAATCTACAATTGAAATCTATTGAAAAACCATTGTTACAAGGGTCGTTGTATATTAGATCATACTATTATTTTAAAACAAAGGAAATCCGGCAGTAAAAGCAATTTTTTTATTTCAGTTGAAATCGATTGTGGAATAAAGAAAGAAGATTACTTGCTATTTGTCCTAATTTTAAGCCAAAGATTTTACTTTTAAATATTTGAAGGTCATTAGATTGATACCACTTAAGTTTTATTTCCGTTTAAAATTTAAATAAATTAGATATTTATATGTAGGAGTGAAATATTTTACAGATATGGTTTTACTTGTGTCATTATATTTATAGTGTTTATTTTTCAATAAAATTCAGATATTTTTGTTTTCTTATTGTGTTAAGAAGTCAAGTTTAAATACTTCAATTCACCTATCTATATCTAAATTATGATTAAAAATTCATAAAAATAAAATATTGCATGACATTTTTAGGTAAAGTTACTAGAATTGAAAGAATGCCGAATCTGTTTGATGATGCAAGGAGTTTGATATAATTGTTGAAATTCAAATTTTCTTTTGTATCCTTGGCATGTAGTTATTGATAAGTAGCTGTCTCATTTATAGTAAACACCACTTCATTTAAGTAATCTTAAAGTCTTAAACATTTAGTAGGTTCAGATGTTTTGACAATGCATGTATTTAAATATATGTTTTACAAATCTAACATGCCTGAAATGTGTGTTGAACACATGCTTTTGTCAAGAGGACATTTTCATATGCATCAAACATTAATTAAGTGACAATGAACTTCAAAGATTTGCACTTTAAATGATACAATTACATCTGCTTACTTGGCATTTTATGTTTGTTAAGTTTTACGGAAATGAGATATTCTTATATTTTGATATAGGAATACATATGTAGTCTTGTTTGACCCTTTTCCATATAATGCAGTGAAGGAATTTCAAGAGTAGGAGATAGAGCAAGCTTTGAAGTGTTACAACTGCAACAAAGATTATATGAATATACATAAGGTGTTTAATATTGAATCACATACCAGCTTCATGTTGTGATAAAAACTAATAGAATTCAAACAAGATGTGTTATTATCAGTTGAATATATGATTTAAATAGTAAATTACAACTTATAATAGAGAAGTATAAATATATATATATATATTCTATTCTTCCTAAATCTTATGTCAAACATATAACTCAGGTGAAGGTTCTTTTATTGTATATCCAATACTTATACTTCATAATGCATGGGAATACTTGTATAATTACATACAAACAGCCTTTAATTCTGTGTCAGCATATTAATAGTGATTTCTTGCAAGAGATTCCCTTATTACATTATAAGGAGAAAATTATGTAGCTTACCATGGTGACTTTTAAGGTTATGACTATTGTGAACCAGTATATGTAAAGAGTCTACCACACTACCCTGTTGCTTATGATTTCTATAATACTGAAGATGGTTAATTATGAATTTTTATGCCCCACCTAGGGGCATTATGTTTTTCGGTCTGTGCGTCTGTTCATTCGTCGGTTCGGCTGTCCGTCTGTCCTGCTGTTAAAGTTTTTGGTCAAGGTAGTTTTTGATGTAGTTGAAGTCCAATCAACTTGAAACTAAGTACACAAGTTCCCTATAATATGATCTTTCTAATTTTGATGCCAAATTAGAGTTTTGACCCCAATTTCATGGTCCACTAAACATAGAAAATGATAGTGGGAGTGGGGCATCCGTGTACTATGGACACATTCTTGTTTTACCTATAGATCAATATAATGATTGATAAAAAAAAAATACAGTAGAATCTGTTCATGAAGGATTCAATGAGAAACTCTGAACAGTGTTGGTGGAATTCATGTATGACAAATGATCAAGGTGTGGTTTATTAAATATTTGTCGGACTGGTCTGAATGTACAGAGATTTAAAGATGTCACAAAACTTAAGTCATGTCTTAAATCAGCATGCAGTTGAATTGATATATACAGAATCAGATAGTGTACTTCTGATGTTGTATGCCTATATATGTTGCTTCAAATTTGTCTTGCCTAATTGAAGACCTAATGTTATGAAATGAATTTTTGTATAGCTCTCTAAAGTTGGAATCTGGTGTCATGGTTATGATTTGGACTTTGGAAGCATTTTTTCTGCTTTTTAACCAGATTTTCGAAGGAAATATCTGTTATTGATTTGTTGATATTGCATTGTGAAGATAGAATTTGTCTGAATAGATGTAATACTAATGGGAAACTAGTTTGTGATGTATGTTATCTTTAAGTGTTTGTTAATTGTTATCATGTTACATTGGCTAACATTACATAGTACTTATGTAAACAGGGAAGTCCTGTATAAATTGATTAAAATGATCACTTTCAGCATTTATCTACAGGGTAAATAAGGTCAAGTACATGGTGGAATAGAATTCAAGTGGTTTTTTTTAAGAAACATTTTAACTATTTTTTTAAAACAAGAGTTATTTCGCTTTGGCAAGGTTAAAATTTTAAAACATTTGAAATTTATTTGATTATTTCTTTTGTTTAAAAATCCTCTGCAATTATTTTTAGCTCACCTGACCTGAAAGGTCAAGTGAGCTTTTCTCATCACTTTGCGTCCGTCGTCCGTCGTCCGTAAACTTTTACAAAAATCTTCTCCTCTGAAACTACAGGGCCAAATTTGACCAAACTTGGCCACAATCATCATTGGGGTATCTAGTTTAAAAAATGTGTCCGATGACCCCGCCAACCAACCAAGATGGTCGCCATGGCTAAAAATAGAACATAGGGGTAAAATGTAGATTTTGGCTTATATCTCTGAAACCAAAGCATTTAGAGCAAATCTGACATGGAGTAAATTTGTTTATCAGGTCAAGATCTATCTGCCCTGAAATTTTCAGATGAATCGGACAACCCGTTGTTGGGTTGCTGCCCCTAAATTGGTAATTTTAAGGAAATTTTGCCGTTTTTGGTTATTATCTTGAATATTATTATAGATAGAGATAAACTGTAAACAGCAATAATGTTCAGCAAAGTATGATCTACAAATAAGTCAACTTGACCAAAATGGTCAGTTGACCCCTTAAGGAGTTATTGCCTTTTATAGTCAATTTTTAACCATTTTTCGTAAATTTTTGTAATCTTTTACAAAAATCTTCTCCTCTGAATCTACTAAGACAAATTTAACCAAAATTTTCCACAATCATCATTAGGGTATCTAGTTTAAAAAATGTGTCCGATGACCCTGCCCGCAAACCAAGATGGCCGACATGGCAAAAAAATAATACATAGGGTAAAATGCAGTTTTTGGCTCATATCTCTGAAACCAAAGCATTTAGAGCAAATCTGATGGTATAAAATTGTTCATTAGGTCAAGATCTATCTGCCTTGAAATTTTCAGACCAATCAGGCAACATGTTGTTGGGTTGCTGCCCCTGAATTGGTAATTTTAAGAAAATTTTGCAGCTTTTGGTTATTATCTTGAATATTATTATAGATAGAGATAAACTGTAAACAGCAATAATGTACAGCAAAGTTAGATCTACAAATAAGTCAACATGACCAAAATTGTCAATTGACCCCTTAAGGAGTTATTGCCCTTTATAGTCAATTTTTTACAATTTTCATAAATTTTGTAAATTTTTGTAAATTTTTACAAAATATTTTCCACTGCAACTACTGGGCCAAGTTCATTATAGATAGAGATAATAGTAAGGAGCAAGAATGTTCAGTAAAGTAAGATCTACAAACACATCACCATCACCAAAACACAATTTTGTCATGAATCCATCTGTGTCCATTGTTTAATATGCACATAGACCAAGGTGAGCGACACAGGCTCTTTAGAGCCTCTAGTTAACTTTAATTATAAAAAAATCATTCTTTTGGCCTTAAGATGACAGCAGTCAGCAAATTTCTGGTTGAACGTGTAGATACGGGACACAATACAGACGCTGATCCAGCCATTTTGAAAAGGGGGGTTCCAACCCCCGGAACACCATGAAACATTCACATTATTAAAAAAAATAAATGAATGAAAAAAAAAAAGGTAGATTCCAACCTCCAGAACACCTCTCCTGGATCCACCAACACAACAGGGATGAAATTGTATTGTGTATCCCATTAAAAAGATTTTTCTACAGGTTGATATTACAGGCTTTGTAGCTGAAAGGGAGGGGAAGTTTTATAGCACACTTTATTGGTGATTATTTACAGTATAGAGTTTTTTATTTGCCTATGCAGTTTTGATTAGTGAAAGCAAATTTACAATTTATAGTTTGAATTTGTATATCCGCACAAGAGGATATTTATCTATAATTTGAAGTTATTTACCCTAACAGAAGTATATTTATTTATAGTTTCAGTGAAAGTTACTTCACAGTTAAAGGCGCTGCTTTGATATTGCCTCAGAATGATGTTGAATCAACTTTTACCAAGAAAATTTGTAAAAGTAGCCATGGTAAGATTTTTATGCCAGAAGAAACTAAGTACATTGCTGTAAAAGTAGTGAATATTTTCATAAAAGTTCCTGATGTAAAATTAGTGTAGAAATGACATGTTACATGACAGATACATATGCTATGAAAGGCAAAAAAACAAAATAACACTATATTTGTCATGTTTATGAAGTTTGAAAGTATATTAAATGTCCATGCAGTCAGCAATCTGTTAACTGTAATATAAGGTAAATGTTAATTTGATACGAAAATGAATCTTGCTTTGTACCAGACTGACATAAAGTCTTGAATCTTAAATAATATTGTGGTAGATCATTTAAAATAGTCAGTACAAAGAGCAACCAGGTCATATTATTCTGACTCCCAAGGCTGTCTGTTTTTACTCCTTCTCATATAAGATTGTGTTAGAGAAACAGCAGTTAAATAGTAATGAATTAGTTTGACTATTGAAAGCTAATTTCCTAAATAAAAAATAACACATTCTATAGAAATCTAAAATTTTGATTATTAATGGTGTTAGTTTCAAATAAAAAAGAATGAATAGTTTTTAGCCTGTAATGATGTGTAGAAGGCAATGGTATATAATGTGTAAGACTCCATAGAATTCTGGCTATATGCAATATTCTGAGCTCTTTTGATTTATAATTGCAGGAGATATCCAAAGCCACTTGGAGTCCATGATTGCATTATTACGAAGACAAGACACAATAGCACTTGTAAGTATCAGATGATAATGAATATTATTTCTTAATCTGACAAATTTATACAAACAGTTAGTGTGATATTTTTCTCTTCACTGTGATCTCATGAAAAAGTTAGACGAGTTGGATATGTCAGAGATTATCTCCCATTTATTTTTTTTTGTTGGAAATCCTAAAAATATATATTGTAGCTGAATGCCTTTAATTTAAAACAAAAAGGTTTTAGTAGTCGTCAGCTGGAAATAATTTGACAGGAAACACATAAAAACTACTAAATAAAAATTTTAACATCAAATTAGAATTGTCAATACCTTGCTTCATCTGACAAGTCATTTGGTAAACTGCCATGAAATGGTTAAGTTGACAGTGAAATAGACAGCCTTTTCAAAGTATTTTTCATTTAGCACTGGAATTTCAAGCATTGCTAATTTATTCTATTCCTCCATGAAACATTTTACTAATTGGTCAATTTGGTTGAGTGATGCAAACTGTAATTAGGTTACTTAAAATTGTCAAAGGTGATAAAACAACTGCAACATTTCCAGCCTAGTTGTAACAAAGTTTTAAAAGGAACAATTGGATTTTTTCAGGCAGTTAAACTAGAAGTAACCATTCCAGAGAGACACAAATACATGGCTGTAGTATCTTGTATGGGTAAACAGGATACAGAAGAGACTGTTATCCTCGGTATCGACTTCTGTGGAAATAATCAGGCCACTATTGGTTTAGTGTTGCCTATCTGGGCAGATACTGAGATAGCATTGGATGGAGATGGGTAAGGCATACTTACACTGATGTGGCTTGTTGGTTACGTTGGTATAGACTTCTGTGGAAATAATCAGGCTGCTTTCCGTTTAGTGTTGCCCATCTGGGCAGATATCGTACTCAAACTCTGAAATCAACCAAACAAAATACAGGAATTGGTGTTTCGAGCATAAATTTTGTACTCCAAGTACTGAGTAAAGTTTATGACCGAGAGCCCAGGTCCTTATATTTAGTTATCTCAATAGGCAGATATGATTACTGGTACAAATATTATATTTGTACAGAACCCATTTTATAAGCGTCTTCTATGGATAACATACATGACATACACTTTGTACTCACTATACATAAGCAGTGATTTTTGTTTGAAAATTTTATTGACTTATTTTCAAAAACTTTCACAAGTATATATTTTTTATTAATAGTAGCTAATATATATTTACAGAGGGTTTAGTGTTACATCTGGAGGCAACAGACATATGTTTAAACCAGTTACAGTACATGTCATGTGGTAGGTACAGAGAGATAATTGTGACGTCTAGAATAGTCATGAAATAATTTTTGTATAAAACCTTCTAATTCATTTCATAAAAATTCAAATTCTACCTTCTTTTGAAAAAATGTATATGCTAAAACCTTTAAAATTCTTTAAAAGAAATACAAATTTGTAATGTAAAACTCTTACTCAGCAAGCATTTTGCATTAATTGCTTATTATTTACAAGGTCATTGAGATCTATCATTTTCCCCCCACTCTCTGAAGCTTAAATTTAATGAAACTTTCTCATAATTTTCATCATATAATGCCATTGTGCAGCCTCCAGTATATATTTTGTCTTTTTATCAACATTTTTTTTTTAAATTCCCTTGGCTAATCATTGTCTTTCAAGGGGTGGGAATGTTATTCTGTGAGCTTTGCTTACAGTACATGTAGTTTGGAATGGATTTATATCATCTTTTCAATTTGTAAATATATTTCAGGTTTACTCTACAAAGTTTGAATAAATTAGTTAAGCTAGCCAGAGAAAACAAGTACATTGCTCAAGGTCTTTCTCATACATGGGTATCCTACTATGAGTCTAGTCTCACATCAGACATTCCTCTGATCAGTGAATGGTAAGTATTGGAGTTGATAAATATCCTAAAGAAAAAAATATGAATTGAACTGAGAATTAAGATTTAATTGAAATAATACCCATATGATATACAAAAATGTGTTAATATATAACTCATCATTTGCAAAGTTCAATGTTACCAACTTTTTACTCAATCAGATAAATTAATTCATATCCAATGTTCATAAAGTGATATAATTTTTTCAGGAATACTACAGAGGATTTATTGTTTTTCAAAGCAGAACCTGTATTACTACCCACTGACGAGTAAGTTACTGTCATGCTCATTAATATGTAGGAAGAATTTACTATTATACCCCAGCTTACTATGTTGGGAGGTATGTTGGTATCATTGTGTTTGTTTCTTTGTCCATGCATCCCTATGTCTTTCATTTCTGTAAGTTCACTTTAACTTGAGCTGAATTTTTATGAAAATTTAACAGAATTTTGATTATCTATTAATAGCAATGTGCATTTCCTATTTACTTTTTAATCCAAAATGGTTTTTGGAATTTCCCATTTAAATATAGAAATTCTTGAAGAATATTTACACTAACTCTAATTATTCCTGCTGGTGTCTTACATGGGGCCTACAATATCTTTTGATTAATAGTACACATTTTAGACTACCGGTACAATTTTGGCTGAATTAACATAAGAAAATTTTCAACACCTTGAAAGGGGTATAGTCTTGTTGTTTTATTACTTTTATAAAGTAAATTTAGTTTAATTGTGTGGAATGTTTTTCAGTGAGGAAGAAGCATTCCTAAAGAGAATCCGAGTAGAACTGAAGAATGTAATGATGAAAGAAGATTTAGATGAAGCTACCTCTAAATATGTATGTATACTGTATATTTGAAATTTTTTGCAAGCATTTATTATTGCAATTGTTGAACCATGGACACAAATGAGAGAATTTTTTTTTCTAAAAATCAGAAAAATAGGCTCGGCAGATCCGTAAACCAACAAATTAAAACACCCTTGCCTAAAATTTATAAAGTGTTAGTTTCATTTTCATGATTTTGGTAGTTTCTTAGATAACATTTCCTGTGAACATATTGTGCCTGTATTACTTCAGACTATCAGAACCATGTGTTTTTTGTTGTTTTTATACCCCCTCAGAAAGGAGGGGTATACTGGTTTGCATCTGTCAGTTCCTTTGTGTGTCCATCCATCCGTGCCATGAAATCTTTATTTCATTTTTCTACCAAAGTAAAAATCATAGGTTTTAGAAATTATGAGCATTCTATTCTGTGGATTGCATTTTAACATCCATCGCTTACCAACTTTGTGTTTACAGAATATTAAATGATTTTTCATTTACTTTCAGTTGAGAACCAAAGTCGAAGAAAGAATGAATATGAAGTTAGATCAATGGAAAGCTTACATTGAACAGGAAATGTTGATGATTATGGGCCAGCTTGATTCACCCACATTAATTAAAGAGTATTTATACTTAGGATCTGAATGGAATGCATCCAACATCGAGGAACTCAGTAAAAATGGGTAGGTTTTAGATTATATATATTATTAAAAGAGACTCGAAATTACACACTTACGTGACTATTGTGATTTAATAATGTTTTACAAGTTTGCATTAAAATATTGTATTTTAGTCGTGGTCTATTGACTTTAAAACAATTGCTTTGATTAAATGTTAAAGTTTGTGTTTAGGTCAGTTTAAAGGGAACCAATTATGATAAGTCAGTGATATTTGGTAGGCAGTTGTATAAGCATTAGCACATTCTGTGGAGATTTTTTGGCCCTACCCTCTGTCATGGTCTATTGACTTTGAAACTGCAGTTTAGATTTAAGTCAGTTTAAGGTGGTACCAAACACCTTGACTAAAATTAATTTGGCTCGTTTAATTTGCATAAAATTTTGACAAAATATTCACCTTGACCCTTTGACAAAAATATAAAAATTTCAAAAAACTTGAACCACACACTTTGTCAGAAAAATTCAAACATCTTGACTAAAATTAATTTGGCTCGTTTAATTTTCATAAAATTTTGACAAAATATTCACCTTGACCCTTTGACAAAAATATAAAAATTTCAAAAAACTTGAACCACACACTTTGTCAGAAAAATTTCATTGGATATATAGCAGTTTTACAAACACTTATTTTGATCATTGAGAAGCTTAATATTTCTTTAACAATAGAAAGTGATTAAAATGTTCAGCTGATTTTTACAGAGTTATCTTTCTGTAGTGTTATGAACTACCTTAATGGGAACCACTTATGATAAGTCAATTATATTAGGTATGCAGTAGTATTAGCATTGATCTTATTTCCTCAGGAATTATTTGCCACCCTGCCTTTGGTCATTGTCCATTGACGGAAATATTTTGCATTTGTTACATGTAAACTATCATGAGTATTACTATTTTAATTTCAACATTTGCATTTTACTGTCAAAATTACATATAGGTGAGACATATCTCTGTGTCAACAGATTGTTTTAATCAAAGATTATTCTTGCACAACTTAATTGTTGATTTTTAGATTACTTTTATTTATTTCAGTGTACATTATATATTGAATATCAGCAGAGAAATAGACAACTTTTATCCTGGTATACTACACTACTACAATATAAAAGAATGGGATTGTGAAGAAACAAATCTACTAAAATACTGGGAAAATACTCATAAATTTATATCCAAAGTTAGGTATGTGTTTATATTCTATTAAAAGCTATAATAGCACCCCAGATGTTGGTGCCTTATAGTAAATACTCTGTCAGTCTATGCATCAACACTTCTATGTCTTGCGATAAGTCAAGACTGTTTCAACCAATTAACCTTAATTTTTGTGCATTTGTTATTGGAATATTTGTTTTGTTTTTTGTTGATGTGAAATTTGGACAAAGATTGTGGTAAAAAACATAGCTTTTGTTAAAAATTTTACAATGTTTGTATAAACATCTTTTTTTGTTAGAATTTCAATAAAAATGGATATTAAAGTTAAACATGTATAATATGCATTCCAAGTTGAGTCCCGTTGTCACAGTTGTGGAGAGATTTTACTTTATGTTAAAAAACAATTATGATTTTTTGGGATACCTGTCGTAAGACCTTGATCTCAGACATTCAACATAAAATTCAATAATAATCAGTTAAGCAGTTGAGACAGTTCAGCATATGCTCTCTTTCATAATATACTATTCAAAGGTTGTACCATACTCTTTGTAAACACCCTATTTTTATTATCAACAGAGAGAAGAAGGGCATAGTATTGGTACATTGTAAGATGGGAATTAGTCGTTCAGCCTCCACAGTAAGTTTAACATGATTATTTACTAATAGAACTTCAAGTCACTCATTCACTGACACATGTTTAATGGCAAATTTATATTTCATGCATATTGAAGTCATAAAACTAATTAAAAATATAAATTAGAATTAATAGATTAGTAAGTTCTACAAAATAAGTTGACTTGGTTGAAAGGTGGGATATATGGTCTGAAACTTCATAATCTTGAGAAGTAATGTCTATTTAAAGCAATTTTCAGATCAATCTGGCAGTCAATTTCTTTTTTACTATATTTTTTTTTCTGATAGAAGGGAATTAAACATGAAAAATGTATTCTCAAAAATAATTTGTTTAATAGTACTTTGCATGACATCATGTTCGACTACTTATTTTTTCGGGTGATCCTTTATAGGTCCACTACACAATATTATTCTATATTTTCCATATTTGTTTTATCCTTATTAGAATTAAAAGAATACATTTATGATATGAAGTGCTTGAATATTGTTTGGGAATGGGATTTTTGTGTATATCTTACATAGTCATTTACGGTTCTTTGACTTCTAACAGGTAATTGCATACTTGATGAAGGAGTATCACATGTCACGGCAGGAAGCATATGACATGGTAAAGGGAATGAGAAGTTGTATCATGCCAAACAATGCTTTCTGGAATCAATTGGAAACTTATGAAGGAATCTTGAATGCAAGGTTAGTTAAGTAAAACATTGTCTAAACTTACAATGGAATTGAAGCTAGTTTTTCATTCATTCTGCCTCTGAAAAAGATCCATGGAGGACCGAAACCTAGACAGGATATGAATAATCACCGGGTGCTGTTAATTATGTGTTTTCGGCATTACTTATACTTTTTATTTGTCATAAATTTATGTCCAATGATAAATATAATTGATATGGCTTCAACCAATGAAAATCTGATGCTTTTAACTCATGTACTATTTTTTTTAAATATTTATACTGAATCTGAGTGACTTAATGTCCCGTACTTGTTTCCGATTTTACCTAGGCAAATATTTTGATTTATGGGGAATTCTGCTTGTTTATTGGTTAAAATATAAATCCAGTGATTGCAAGCTTATTTAAAATAAACTTTCTTCAAATCTGTGCAGAGAATATATAAATATCCTTCTGAACATTTTTAATAGACTTGATCATTTACCTTCTCATACTCTGTCAAAAGATTTTATTTCTTAAATATTATTAATCTTCTTTATTCTTTTTATAGTTTATTTGAACATTTTGAAAAAGAGACAAGAAGCCTGTGTTTTGAAGAATTTTCAACCTATACATAATTAAAAAAAAACAGTTAAAAAATATTGTCAGAAATAAAAACACAAATATATTTTTGAAAAGAAAACAATATTGTAATGTAGTTGATAACAAATTAGTTCCCATTTAAACTCAATTATTATGAAATATTAAAAGATAAATAATAAATCTCCAGTATTCAAAGTATTTTTTTTTTACATAGAAAACACCTTTTGTATTAAAATAATTCAATATTTTCAAATTTCTTGTAAATCATTAATCTTAATCTTTACACAATTTTCAGCAATCAAAGACTTATCTTTAAATTGCGTTCTGAAACAAACATGGATGAAAAAGCCAAAGAAATTGAAAAAGAAGAGGTGAACACTGAGGATTTTTTAGGAGTGTATCAGGAACCCATTGATGAGAGTTACTCGGATGTGTTCCTGAAAGATATCTCAGGTAACTTGTGACACCATGTACTAACTGTCAAAGTTATTTCGAAGAGAAAATCTGTTGGATTTATTTGGCAGGTCAACACACAGTTCAGGGTTAATGATCAGAGGTACATCTACTTCTAGGAGAGAAAAAGAAAAATACTATTTAATACCTATAGTTGACCATTTGTTTTTGAAGCATTCAGTCAAAAAACTGTCACACAAGGAGACCAAATTATGTAAACAATGAAGGGTCATTATTAGGGTTATAAAGTTTTAAATACTCCTTAGATATGAATTTCTATTGTAAGTAAAGAAGTATATGTGTGCTAGTCAGGTGGTTGCTTTTTTTATAGTACATGAAACAGTTACAAGAAATAGAATAACAGGTTCCTACAAATTGTCTACATCCAGATCATTTGAACTCTTAAGGATTGTTGTCTCATTAACACATCTTCTTATTTCCATTCTGTTCAACTTTGAATTACTGTAAATTCAGAAAATAATGTGTGCATTTATTATTGCAATTTTTGAAGAATGGACAAAAATTAATTATTGTGATGTCAGGAAAATCTGCATACAGATATATGTTTAAGATATCAGAATGTCAGTTCTTATTATTGCGATACTACTGTAAATTCAGAAATTATTGCATGCATTTATTATTGCGATTTTGTCATTTTAGACTAAAATGCGATTTTAATTTTTGCGATATTGAGAAAAATCTTGTTAATTTCAAAATGCGAGTTTAAATTATTGCGATTTTAATCCTGTCGCATTTTTCGCAATAATAAAAACATCACAATAATTTCTGAATTTACAGTAACCTAGTTGCATTATTCGCATAAATAAAAACCTCGCAATAATTTCTGAATTTACAGTAACCACTATACTGATTTAGATAACCAGAAATGTGTTAGCTGTGTATGAACAGTCAGAAGCAATTGTGCAAAAAAGAGTTGTACAACTTAAAATTGATTTAGATTAGGTGAAGATGGGCAATACCAGAACAATTATAGTAGTTGTGCAGTTGCCGACACACCTAAATCATACGAAATATATATCATTCAGAATATTACTACCTTAACAAATAAAATAGCTTTGTAGAACATACAAAACAGAACTTACTACCTTATTAAATATCATTTTTACCAAACAGAACCAAGAAGAATAACAAATTTAAAAGCCGGTCCAATATAATCTTTTTGATATTAGTTTGTCATCTATAGTATATGATGATATATATGTATGAAATTCTATGCATTCATTTAATTTCGTGGGTACTAATTTTCATTGATTGAAGAAACATTGTATTTTCGTGGATACTGTAAATTCAGAAATTATCACGAGGTTTTTATTAATGCGAATAATGTGGCTGGGTGAGTATCACAATAATAAGAACTTGCATCTGATATATAATTACATATATTTGTATGCTGATTTTCCTGAAATTGCAATAATTAATCTCGCATTATTGTCCAATTTTTCAAAAATCGCAATAATAAATGAATGCAATAATTTCTGAATTTATAGTATTTGATTTGATGGTTTTGCAAAAGTGTGCATACAAGCCTATAGAAAAGTTATACTTTGATGAACATTTAAATTTGTGGTTCATGTACATGTATACCCACTGAATCCACGTAAATTGGTATCACTAGAATAATAACGAATCCACAGTAGTAATTATCATACAAAGTAGTGAATGAATTTTATATTTACATACAGATAACTGTTCCTATGACTTTGACATTGAGATAGGAAGTAGTTCTAGAAGTGCTGATTCAAATGAAGAGTTTTATCCAGATTTACCCTCTCCACAACCAGATGGCGCTCAAGGTATAAGCACAGACATTCCTGATGATGAGGATAGTGAAGATGATTCAGAATCATCAGAGGAAGAAGAAGAAGAAATTCCAGCCAGTTTTCCACAGAAAAGTTTATCTCCAACATCAAAGTCTTCAAGTAGTAATATTGTACCAGAAATAATTCTTTCTAATTCGCCAGCAGATAGACCAATCCTAGACACTGAAAAAGTCCCAAACGAAACAAGAAAAGATATAGGTGAATCTCATAGTGATATGGATATAGCTGAGATTGAAGGTGACTGTGCCCTTGAAACTGATATATCAAGGGAAACAACTCCTTTGTCAGACTTAGGTATTCATCAGCATTATCGTAAGGAGAATATACCATGGAGTGCTGGAACTGTCAAGAAAACCAAAGAAAATTTAGAGGGCAAGAGTAAGGATGTGTCAGCAAGTTCAAGGTCAGATGACATTAAAAGAAAAATTAAGGATGTTGAAACTAGTCCCGAGTCAAGTCACTTCTCTTTTGACGATCATGTGACAACAAATAATGAAGGTATAACTATTATAGTGACCGATGAATCTGACAAACAGTTCCAGCCTATTGATGATGTTACTCAATCAGAAACAAATGTGGATGAAGTTCAGGCAGAAAAGTTTGCGCAAAAGGATGAAGATCAGGATGTAAAACGACCTGCATCTGTATATGATTTAGAGGAGATATCTCTACCTGCAGGCATTGTACGTAGAACTACACAGGAAATAGAGGATAGAAATAGGTATGTTATAATTGAGTTTAAATCAATAAAATAAATTTCTAATATATATATATCCAGTTTAACTTTCAGTTAACTTTGTTTCATATGATGCAAGAGTGTTTGATAACTCCTTGTAAGAGAAGATACACCATAATTTAAATCTTTTGTGACATAACAAAAATGTGATACCTAATTAATCGAAGGGGTGAGCAGAATGATTAAATATTAAAAATACAATAATAGAACACATTTGGGCTTCTAGGCAGAATGAAAACTATATCAATAATGCAGTATGACTTATGATCATCAATTTGTTATTGTCAATTGTACAAAATAAGATATTTGAAAAAAAATAAATACATTTAGGTGGATAGGCACTGAAATTAGTATAAGAAAGAGAGATCTTTAAGCTTCTTGGAAGAGATTTAAAGCATATTCAGTATAAAAATATAGGTCAAGACTCAAGTTTTAATAAACTATAAAGAATTATATATTTAATAAAAAGTTTTATTTCTTAATACAGAATAAATGACCAATCTCCAGATTCAGAACACAAAGCATTACAGAGGTCATCAAGTTTAAAGACAGAACGTGATACTCCACGTAAAAAACGCAATTTAGAAAGACGAAAAACAATTACTCCAATCTTATCATCATGCTCGTCTTCATCATGTGATGCTAGTCCAACCAAAGATGTCAGTGCATTAAACTTCTCAAAATATGACTCTGTGTTTACAAGTCCAGCTGTGTTGTCAAGACAGCTGGATGATGAAAAGAAAGAGTGTGAAAAAACCTGTGAGAAAGACGATAAGACAGATTTTGTAAACATTAGTGCAAATAAAAATGATGAAAATACTGAGGAGGTTAAATCTATAGAACTGGAGGAAGCAGATTTAGCAGTTTATAAATTTCTAGGTGAAGAAGTGTCTGTAAAAAAGGGAATTGTTAAAAAACAAACTATGGGTATGTTTACAGTTAGGAGTAATGTTTTAACACAACTTTGCTTTAAAACAAGTATTATCATGTAACTCAATTCCTATAAGGTTGTTAGGCACTACAATTAACATACTACAGATTTCTCTTAAATTTTTTAGAAAGAGATTTAATGAATGAGTGTTTATATATATAAATATTATAAAGTTTTTTGAAAATATAGGTGACAGTTCAATATGAAATTTCAAATTCTGTAAAACACATTAAGAGTGAAATCAATCTATGAGTATCCCAAATTCTAAGAAATAAAAATTGATAATTTTTCGGAGGAGATTGTTATCATGGTTACAACGAACATGATGAAGCACTTTCAGAATTAAAATGCGAAATCTGGTTTCTCTCTTATTTCACCAAAAGTTCAGAATTATTTCTAAAATTTGACATATGTTTTGCGTATGTCATCATTTTTGGCTAAATCACAGATGCTTTGAACCATTCTGTCAGAAAATATATGAAAATAAAATAAGATAATTCAAAAGTGAAACCAATGTTTTTCATAAGAAATGATGAAAATTCTTATAAAGTTCCTTGTTCTGTCTTTATGTTTGCAAATAACATTTTGAGGATCCCTTTTAAGGGTTACAATCCAATCTCAGTTATCCAAAATGAAGAAGAGTTGACATTTACAATATAAAAATATGGAGATGTGGTATGATTGCCAATGAGACAATGAACTATCAATTAACTGCTGACTATTGATAACGCTTCATTTTAATAACAAATTCTGCTAGAATATAATCTGTTAAGTCACAAAAATTTTTAATCAACCTGTGTGTATAACCCCCTCAATTAATGAAAACATGAGGTCCCAACAACTTCTTTGAATAAAACCTTTGTAAAGAAACAATTTAATTTGATAATTTACATGTAAGAATGTTCAAGTCAGATTGGCTGACTCGCAGCACTGATGATACTTTGATAAAATGTGTACACAAAAACTGCAATAATCCCTTGAACTTTATATGTAATTTATACATGTGTTATACATAAACTTTGATTTTTTAAATGGTATTAAGAATATAATGATTATCATGATTATTACATAAAAGTGGTTTAAGAAGGGCTGCTATTTAGAACATGTTTGCCAAAAAATAATAAAACTAAATAAGAAGTAAGACCATTATGAATGTGCACTATTCTCTAGGTATACAATTGTATCATGATGACACAAGTAAGTAAAGATGGCATGATACATGTTATATTTTTACAGAAATGCATGAACGACACATATATTTATCATGGAATCACTTTTATGAAAGTTTCAACAAGTTGTGCTCAATATAGTAATTCTTTTGTCACTATGATTACAGACAGTATATGAAATGTTTTAAGAAGTCACATGTTTAATGTTGAATATGTGTTTATCCAATATTAAGAATCCTCACATTTTTCACTATCCCCTATACCAGTGATAGCATGAGGTCAACAGTATTCAGCATGTCAGTGTGTCTGTCCATATATTTTCCATCTAATAGATATAAAGCTTCATCTCACAAGATACCAATCAGACCCTGCTAAAAATATATCTCTTTTCTTTTTTATAATGAAGTTGTGCATCCTATATTTAATTTGTGCATGTTACTTGCCATGAGGTGACACTAATGCAGGAACTGCTTAACCTTCTGGAGCACCTGAGTTCATCCCCTGGAACTTATGGTGGGGTTTTTGTTGCTCAATATTTAGTTAATCTGTATAGTGCTTTGTGGGATGTTGTTGTATAGTTGTCTTTTATTTTTATGCCCCATCTACAATAGTAGTAGGGGCATTATGTTTTCTGGTCTGTGCGTCAGTTCGTTCGTCCGTCCATTCGTCCGTCCATCCGTCTGTCCTGCTTCAGGTTAAAGTTTTTGGTCATGGTAGTTTTTGATGAAGTTGAAGTCCAATCTTGAAACTTAGTACACATGTTCCCTATGATATGATCTTTCTAATTTTAATGCCAAATAAGAGTTTTGACCCCAATTTCAGGGTCCACTGAACATAGAAAATGATAGTGCAAGTGGGTCATCCGTGTACTATGGACACATTCTTGTTAGGCTATGGTGTTGTATGTTTTTCTTCATCTTATTGGTTTTTTATTTCCCCTTTAGTCCAAAGGGCCAGGATGAATGATTGCCATCTCTAGGCTCCCCTCTGTTGTCCATCCTCATCTGTCAGCTTTTACAAAATGTTTCTCCTCTGAAACTACTGGACCAATTAAAATCATCACATTTTTCACTATCCCCTATACCAGTGATAGCATGAGGTCAACAGTATTCAGCATGTCAGTGTGTCTGTCCATATATTTTCCATCTAATAGATATAAAGCTTCATCTCACAAGATACCAATCAGACCCTGCTAAAAATATATCTCTTTTCTTTTTTATAATGAAGTTGTGCATCCTATATTTAATTTGTGCATGTTACTTGCCATGAGGTGACACTAATGCAGGAACTGCTTAACCTTCTGGAGCACCTGAGTTCATCCCCTGGAACTTATGGACACATTCTTGTTAGGCTATGGTGTTGTATGTTTTTCTTCATCTTATTGGTTTTTTATTTCCCCTTTAGTCCAAAGGGCCAGGATGAATGATTGCCATCTCTAGGCTCCCCTCTGTTGTCCATCCTCATCTGTCAGCTTTTACAAAATGTTTCTCCTCTGAAACTACTGGACCAATTAAAATCATACTCATGGCCATAGTCATCCTTGAGGTGTCTTATTTAAAAAAATGTGTTAGTTCATGGAATGTTTCAAAGACTAGTTCAACATGTTCAAACTTCTTTATGATCAAGAGATAGCATTTTAAGAAAAGAAATAATTTTCCCTCATATAATTTACTAATAAATGACTTCAGTTCTCAGCAGTCAACTTTACACTGGCAGCAGCAATTGTAGGTGAGACACAGGGTTCTGCTAAACCCTTTACATTTTTTCTCATTTTTGCCTTTTATCTTGAAAGTTATAAAGAAGAAGACTTGGTCCAGCTAAAATGATAAGCAAGACAAGATTTTGGCCCACAAAGTTCCCAATCAACACAAATATTCTTGTTGCATTGTTTTGATTTTATGCAATAAGACCAGATGAGCCAAACAGGCTTCAAGGAAACTCTAGTTTTAAGTTCTGAAATGTTTGAATTAGTAAGATGCTGGATCCCCTTTATTCAAATATTCTCAAAAATTCTTTTTAAAAGTAGGTATTAACTTTGTATTTAACACACAGTTAGATGGTGAGCATCTCAATTATGTATTGATTGCCAGTAAGTCATTTCAGAGTGAACTTACTAAACACTGCAAAAAAACACCTGACTTTCAACATTTAAATGAAATTGATCATGTAGACTTAGTTTTATACGAACATTTTATGACTTTATCTTGCAAAAATCTCCATGGTTATGCAATGACTTTATTTTGATAGAAAAATTGATGTAACGCCATTGAAACATCATTTGTTTTCAATACTTGTATTTGAAGCTTGAAATTAACAGCAGATTATGCAAATTGGAAGCTAGTAATACTTTTGTTAAGGGGATAAGTAACATTATTAAAATTGTATAATATTTTCTAGGCATTGAATTGATGAATCGTGAAAGATTGTCTTCTGAGAATGAGAAATCTGATGTTGGAAGTCGAAGTAGGAGAACATCTGACAATGAGGGCAGTGGATCACATCCTACCACACCAACAGAAGTTAAAAATTCTGGCAAAGAAGTTATAGAGGTTACCCCTTCATGTACAATTAGTATGGACACGCAAAATAAAGTAGAAAATGTAAGTTCAGAATCTGAGGAAAACAAAAAAAGTTCAGAGTCAGATGGTAGAATAGAAGAGAAAACTCCATTATTTAGTGTAGCAAAAGAAAGCTTTGAAAGGGCTAGTGCTAAAACAAAAGACCATGATGACCCAGTATTTCATACACCAAAAAACAAAAAGAGGCCAGAGCCTCGTTTTGATGCAGCTACCTTAGAACTTATTCGAGAAATAGGGTCTGCAATTTTAAATAGTCCTGCTAAATCTGAAGTTGAGGATTATGAAGAGGAGGAGGCCCAATTAGGGTCTGGTTTAGTTAGGCACTATGTTCGAGGTATTGAAAAGAAAACAAGTGTATCTAAAAAGAAAAAAACGAAAGAGATTATAATAATAGATAAAGAAACACAGGAAAAGAAGCACTCTTGGAGATGGAGTAGTCCACCAGATCAAAATAAGGAATCTCCTAATGAACATTCTAAAAAGCCATTGATTCAGTCAAATAGTAGTCCTGTTTTATCTACAAAGCAGATGATACAGTCAGGAAAACCAGGAAGTGATTTTGATTTATCTCCCTTGAAAGGAAGTCCTCCAAAAAGAGGTGGAGAAATTGGAAAGAGTTCACCCAAAAAATCTGTTGGAATCGATTCAGAATATAGTTCCTCATTAGGGTCTGACAGTAGCGTAGGAGCGAAAGATGGAGAAAATAGCGAAGTTTTTAACTTCAAAAGTTTGGTAGGAAAATATGGAGGATCTTGTCAAGACTGCTTAGATAGTCACCCAAATAGCTCTTCATTGTCAGAAATAAAAGAAGTCAATTCTTGTGAATCTCTGAAAAATGTCGGAACGAACCCAACGCCAAACAAAGAAACTGAAAATGACAGTTCTATAAATACACAATCAGATAGTGAAGAATCTACGAATGAGGATTGTGTCAAGTTACGTCATATTAGAAATCAGTTGAGAAAAACAAGTCATCATACACATCGTCCTAAATCTGTTGAGCTAGTCAGACGGCATTCTTTAGCTCCTGGCATGTTTGGAGTAACGGACACTAGCATGGAAGACAATCAGTCTGCGTTTTCATGGGAAGGTAGAAAAGTTAGAAAACTTCAAGGAAAGAGTCATCCATTGACTAAACTAGAATGGCGGAAAAAGTTTTATAACACTATGTAATGTCTAAAGAATTCAGGTTTCAGAAATTCATATATATGACAGTACACATAAGCATTGAAAGAAGAAAACTAAGTGACAAAATTGCTGCTTCTAGTGAGACAAATTTCTAAGTCTACTTCAGAAATTGTCATGTTCGTTGCTATTTCAACAAAAATTTTAGTTATCGTTTTTATTATAACTTTAAATGATTGAAGAGGGGTCTGAAAGATAGTGTTATCATTTCAATGCTTCATGAACTTATATAAATATACTGTAATGATCACAAACTAAAAGATAAGACATAAAAAAGGTGTGATTATGGTGAAGTATTTTACCAGTTCCCATACACTACTTTAACATCACCAGAGTAGGAAAGTGTACCTACCATTAGCCAGGTCATGTATTAGTGGTTAACTCGATTCAAAGTTGGCATTGTTAACATTCAAGATACAACGATGTGGAAATAGAGATAAAATGTAACAGTGATGAATTATACTATATTGAACCCATTATACTGGTTTTAAATTCTGTTTTACTAGCATGACTAGTAAGATAAAACTTGTGAAATCTGTTATTGTGATACAATCATTCCATTTTAGAAGCTGTACATTTGTTTGTTTGCCAGTTTGAGATTTTATATTGTTATATAAGATGTGTAATGTCATGTATTGTTTCTGGTAGTTAAACTTTAATTTAAAATTAAACTGTACGCCAAACGCCAAACAACTGTCTAATCAAAACTCCTCGACTAGTTTGGACAGGTTTCCGTGTATTTGTCAAAGACAGCTTTAATAGGTCAAAATAGGCAAGCAATAAAAACGGTGTACCTCAGATATGAAATTTATTGCCTAGTATTTCATGGACCATTGTCATAATGTCCACCCCTTATCTCTTAGTTTCCAAATTTGGGTTTGTATTTTGAAATAGTTAATTGTATTAGTAAATTGCAGCCAGAAATTTTACTGACATTGAATCATTACTAAAAATAGATTTTACATCATACAGCTGTGATATAGAGATTGTTTTATTTTAATGTTTATGGCAGAGTTATATTGGTGTAGAGTAAACAATTTGAGATTTAATTTGTTTGCAAGTTAGTTTTTAAGAGTTCACGTTCAGAAGTTTTATGACTTTTCCAATTAGATTTATTTCTATTGTAAGATATTTTTCTCCATATCGTTTTTCAAAATTAAATTTTGTATTTATAAAGTCCTATATATATGTTGAAAATATATTATGATAAAAGTCAGATGGCAGTTATATGTAGCTGGTTCTATCATATACATTTATCACAATTTGTAACAGTTTCAGTTCGGGACATAACAAGTTATGTTGTAATTGAGGCTATTCTAAATATTATCTCTTCAATTTAATTTGTAAATACAAAATGTATCCTTTACTGTTGTACATACATACCTGTCAATTCCTCAAAACCTCCATGGGGATTTTAAGTGCTAGAGGACCTAATTATCTCTTGTATGTCATAAGAGTTTAAATATAATATATTTATGGTTTATAATGAGCATATAAATGTTTAAATGGCATTTTATCTCCTTCAAATTCTCTTTTTTGAGATATTCAGTAGAACAGGATTTCAAGAGTAAAGTCAACACTGCTCATGAATCAGGAAAGTTGTCAGTTCTGGATATTCACTCATACATTTATATACTTGCACAGAAAGTTTCTCTGACTCTCATTTTTGCCATGAATTAAAGAAAAACATGTATCTTTCTGAAATATTAACTTCCTTTTGTGATACTTATTTTTAACTTTAGAATTTTGGAATCAAGCATTAGTCATTGAATCAATAAAACTCCATATACATGTAGATAATTTGAAATAATAACTTGTACTTGTAATACTCTTAATAGGGTATAATCAAATTTAAATTGTACATTTACATGTAGTATAGATCACAGAGGTTCACATTTATAAAAGTCTTAATAAAAGTAACAAAGCACCTTTTGGACAATTGATTAAGAATATTGATATTAAGTTTTTTTTATCAACCAAATATTTTTGAAGCAACTTTGCTAGCCAGTTCAGTAAAGTTAAGTTTATATTCCTAAAATGATGGATAAATTGTAAACAATTTTGTATATTTTGTTTTGGTTTGACATTTTCCTGCCTCTGTTAGTAAATTATTCCTTTGGTTAACACATGTGTGATTTTGGTTGTAAATTTAGTTATAAGTTCATTTTTTTTGTCGAGCCTGCGACTTTTGTCGCAGAAAGCTCGACATAGGGATAGCGATCCGGCGGCGGCGGCGTTAGCTAACTTCTTAAAAGCTTTATATTTTAGAAGATGGAAGACCTGGATGCTTCATACTTTGTATATGGATGCCTCATGTTACGAAGTTTCCGTCAGTCACATGTCCAATGTCCTTGACCTCATTTTCATGGTTCAGTGACTACTTGAAAAAAAAGTTCAGATTTTTTGTAATGTTAAATTCTCTCTTATTATAAGTAATAGGATAACTATATTTGGTATGTGCGTACCTTGCAAGGTCCTCATGCCGTCAGACAGTTTTCACTTGACCTCGACCTCATTTCATGGATCAGTGAACAAGGTTAAGTTTTCGTGGTCAAGTCCATATCTCAGATACTATAAGCAATAGGTCTAGTATATTCAGTGTATGGAAGGACTGTAAGGTGTACATGTCCAACTGGCAGGTGTCATCTGACCTTGACCTCATTTTCATGGTTCAGTGGTTATAGTTAAGTTTTTGTGTTTTGGTCTGTTTTTCTTATACTGTATGCAATAGGTCTACTATATTTGGTGTATGGAATGATTGTAAGGTGTACATGTCTAGCTGGCAGGTGTCATCTGACCTTGACCTCATTTTCATGGTTCAGTGGTCAAAGTTAAGTTTTTGAGTTTTGGTCTTTCTTTCTAATACTGCATGCAATAGGTCAGCTATATTTGGTGTATGGAATGATTGTAAGGTGTACATGTCTAGCTGGCAGGTGTCATCTTACCTTGACCTCATTTTCATGGTTCAGTGGTCAAAGTTAAGTTTTTGAGTTTTGGTCTTTTTTTCTAATACTATATGCAATAGTTCAACTATATATGGTGTATGGAAATATTTTATGATCTATATGTCAGTCACGCAGGTTTTATTTGACCTTGACCTCATTTTCAAGGTTCATTGCTCAGTGTTAAGTTTTTGTGTTTTCGTCTGTTTTTCTTAAACTATAAGCAATAGGTCAACTATATTTGTTGTATGGAAGAATTGTTAGCTGTACATGCCTGCCTAGCATGGTTCATCTGACCTTGACCTCATTTTCATGGTTCATTGGTCAATGTTTACTTTACTTGGTTAATGTTAAGTTTATGTGACAGTTGTAATAAAGCTTTATATTTAGGACTATCAACATAATATCAATGATTAGTAAAGAAGGTGAGACATTTCAGCGTGTGCACTCTTGTTTACAAAAGCAGCTCTTAATTGCTGGACAGTTACAATTGTTATTGCACTATTGCATTTTAGGATTAGACAATTACATTTGCAACTAAACTATTACATTTGTTTACTTGACAATTACATTTGTACACTTGAAAATTACATTTACAACTAGACAATTACATTTGTACACATGACAATTACATTTGTAACTGGACAATTACATTGTACACTAGATAAAAAATCAGCTGGAAGGTGTTATATTCATTAAAAGTTTATAGCAGTCAACAACATCTACAATTTAACAAAATAGTAAATTAATATTTGCCTCCCTAATTCCTTTTACAACTGTTATGATATGTGTAATAGACGATCAGAGAAGTTGAACTTACCTTACACTGTTTTGTATTCAATAGAGTGCTTTTTATACGACCGCAAAAAAATTTTGTGGTCGTATATTGGTATGACGTTGGCGTCGTCTTCGTCGTCGTCGTCCGAAGACACATTAGTTTTCGCACTCTAACTTTAGTTTAAGTGAATGGATCTTTTTGAAATTTCACCATAAGGTTAAATACCACAAAAGGAAGGTTGGGATTGATTTTGGGGGTTATTGTACCAACAGTTAAGGAATTAGGGGCCAAAAAGGGGCCAAAAATAAGCATTTTCTAGTTTCCAGACAATAACTGTGGAACGGTGTATGGATCTCTCTGAAATTATACTACAAGTTTCCATACCACAAAGGGATTGTTAGGATTTGCTTTGGGGGGTTATGGCTCAAACCGTTTAGGAATTAGGGGCAAAAAAGGGGGAAAAACAAGGTTGTCCTGGTTAATGGACAAATTCATTAGTACAAAACATAATTTAAAGCAGTGTAAGGGAGATAAATCAAATTCATCATTGAAATTATCTCCCTTACACTGCTTTTAAATTATGTATAAAGTAATGGTTAATGAACAATAAAGATAATTTAAAACAGTGTAAAGGAGGTAATCCAAATACAACGTTTTGGTTACTTCCCTTACACTGCTTTTAAATTATGTTTAAAGAAATGCATATTTATAAAGGAAGACCAGTAAAAATATCTGCAAATGTTGCATCTTTTTTTTTACAAAAAAATCCATATGAAAGATTTGACACTATATTTTTAATTCTATTATAAAATAGATTAAGTTAGCACTATGGTAAATTTAAATGGGTAATTATGGTTGCCAACTCCTTTGGAAATTTGAATTGAGATTATGACCATATCTTGAGGGAAAGAATTTTTTTGGGGAAAAAAAGGGGGGGGGGGGGGGATAAAAAGAAATTGTGGGGGGTCAATTTTTTCTCATTTCAGATTTCAGAAATTAAAAAGAATTATTCTTCAAATATTATTTTTTTTTCAAATTTCAAATATTGAAAAATTTCAAGAAGTAATCTTTAATTGCACAGTATGGCGCATTAGATTTTAGTAAAATCTTTGATCACATTTATTTATTTGTTATGCCGAATCTAACAGTGTATTTAGATTTTTAATTTTGGGTCCAGTTTTCAAATTGGTCTACATTAAGGTCCAAAGGGTCCAAAATTAAACTTTGTTTGATTTTAGCAAAAATTGAATATATGAGGTTCTTTGATATGCTGAATCTAAACATGTATTTAGATTTTTATACGACCGCAAAAAAAATTTTGTGGTCGTATATTGGTATGACGTTGGCGTCGTCGTCGTCCGTCGTCGTCGTCGTCCTGCGTCGTCGTCCGAAGACGCATTAGTTTTCGCACTCTAACTTTAGTTTAAGTGAATGGATCTCTATGAAATTTTACCATAAGGTTCAATACCACAAAAGGAAGGTGGGGATTGATTTTGGGGGTTATGGTACCAACAGTTAAGGAATTAGGGGCCAAAAAGGGGCCAAAAATAAGCATTTTCTAGTTTCCAGACAATAACTGTGGAACGGTGTATGGATCTCTCTGAAATTATACTAAAAGTTTCCATACCACAAAGGGATGGTTAGGATTTGCTTTGGGGGGTTATGGCTCAAACCGTTTAAGAATTAGGGGCAAAAAAGGGGGAAAAACAAGGTTGTCCTGGTTAATGGACAAATACTTTAGTACAAAACATAATTTAAAGCAGTGTAAGGGAGATAAATCAAATACATCATTGAAATTATCTCCCTTACACTGCTTTTAAATTATGTATAAAGTAATGGTTAATGAACAATTAAGATAATTTAAAACAGTGTAAGGGAGGTAATCCAAATACAACGTTTTGGTTACTTCCCTTACACTGCTTTTAAATTATGTTTAAAGAAATGCATATTTATAAAGGAAGACCAGTAAAAATATCTGCAAATGTTGAATCTTTTTTTTTTACAACAAAATCCATATGAAAGATTTGACACTATATTTTAAATTTTTTTATAAAATAGATTAAGTTAGCACTATGGTAAATTTCAATGGGTGATTATGGTTGCAAACTCCATTGGAAATTTGAATTTAGATTATGACCATATCTTGAGGTAAAGAATTTTTTGGGGGAAAAAAGGGGGGGGGGGGAGGGGTTAAAGAAATTGTGGGGGGTCAATTTTTTCTCATTTCAGATTTCAGAAATTAAAAAGAATTATTCTTCAAATATTTTTTTTTTTTTCAAATTTCAAATATTAAAAAATTTCAAGAAGTAATCTTTAATTGGACAGTATGGCGCATTAGATTTGTAAAATCTTTGACCACATTTATTAATTTGTTATGCCGAATCTAACTGTGTATTTAGATTTTTAATTTTGGGTCCAGTTTTCAAATTGGTCTACATTAAGGTCCAAAGGGTCCAAAATTAAACTTTGTTTGATTTTAACAAAAATTGAATATATGGGGTTCTTTGATATGCTGAATCTAAACATGTATTTAGATTTTTGATTTTTGGCCCAGTTTTCAAGTTGGTCCAAATTGGGGTCCAAAATTAAACTTTTTTTGTTTGATTTCAGCAAAAATTGAATATATGGGGTTCTTTGATATTCTGAATCTAACCATGTATTTAGATTTTCTATTTGTGGACCCCGCTATCAAATTGGTTCATATTGAGGTCAAAAGGGTCCAAAATTAAACTTTGTTAGATTTCAACAAAAATTGAATATATGGGGTTCTTTGATATGCTGAATCTAACCATGTATTTAGATTTTTGATTTTTGGGCCCCGTTATCAACTTTGTCCACATTGTGGTCAAAAGGGTCCAAAATTAAACTTAGTTTGATTTTAACAAAAATTGAATTCTTGGGGTTCTTTGATATGCTGAATCTAAACATGTGTTTAGATTTTTGATAATGGGCCCAGTTTTCAAGTTGGTCCAAGTTGGGGTCCAAAATTAAACTTTGTTTGATTTCAACAAAAATTGAATATATGGGGTTCTTTGATATGCTGAATCTAAACATGTATTTAGATTTTAGATTTTGGCCCAGTTTTCAAGTTGGTCCAAATTGGGGTCCAAAATTAAACTTTGTTTGATTTCAACAAAAATTGAATATATGGGGTTCTTTGATATGCTGAATCTTACCATGTATTTAGATTTATTTTTGTGGGCCCGCTATCAAATTGGTTCATATTGAGGTCAAAAGGGTCCAAAATTAAACTTTGTTTGATTTCATCAAAAATTGAATTCTTGGGGTTCTTTGATATGCCAAATCTAACCGTGTTTTTAGATTTTTAATTTTGGGTCCCATTTTTAAATTGTCTACATTAAGGTCCGAAAGTTCCAAAATTAAACTGAGTTTGATTTTAACAAAAATTGAATTTTTGGGGTACTTTGATATGCTGAATCTAAACATGT